AAACCTTTATCACCATGGCCCCTATCAGAATCAGAAGGACATGGGGAAAAAAGAAAAAAAAGCAGTGAAGAATGACAAAATATAACAAGTAAAGAACACCAGGTAATAGTAAGAAAGAAGAAGAAGAAAAAGAAGCATAGGAACACTATAAGGAGAAAGTGAAGGCTGCTATTTCAAGTCCTGGCTCACTGTAACATTAAGAGAAATTAGGATTCTCTTATAAGGAAAGCACAATGTCTAAGGAAATTTCAGCTGTGAAAATTGACACAATTACTAAAAATGCATGAATTTTCTTGTTGTTAGAATTAGTCCTGGACTATGCAGTAGCCACTCAAATGCTGCTGTGGGCAAGGGCCATGTTGTTGCCTGCTGCTTGAGTATCTATTTCTTCTCTTCCTATGCTTAACAACTCTGGGAGATAATACATTGCAGTTGTGCTAGTGGTTACAATATTTGGGGATAAAATTAATATTTTTTATTGTTTATTTATTTCTTTTGAGAGGGTGAGGGACAGAGAGAGGGAGAGAGGGAGAGAGAGAGAGAGAGAGAGAGAGAGAGAGAATCCCAAGCAGGCTCTGCACTCAGGATGTGGGGCTCTATCTCACAACCGATGAGATCATAACCTGAGCTGAAATCAAGAGTTGGACACTTAAATGACTGAGCCACCCAGGCATCCCTTAAAATTAATACTTTTGACTAGAAGTATCTAATGATAAGTCCACAGAACTTGACTCTGGATACATCATTAAGACGTAATCAGAAAGAAGCAGATTACTCCAGTTAACATTTCTGAAATAGGGATCACATTAATTATTTCAAAATCCTTACTCTGTAGATAAGTGTATTTTAATTTCTTCCCCTTAAATACTTCCATCTATCTTGGGAAGGAGCTTTGGAGGGGGGTAACTATCTATTTAGCTATCTATTTAGCTAGGAGAATAGCATGCCTTTTATCCTCACACATCCTATTTTTGAGGGCATAGTAGCCATGCTTCATGGGAGGGCAGAGCTGGGTACACCAGTCTTGCCCTTTGACATCCTTGGACTCCTTCAAGTGAACCGGAGAAATGGCCCTTTGCAGCACAGCTGAGCCCCCCAAAGTTCTGGGACTTACCTCCACTTCAATAACACAGACTGTTTTTTAGTATTAGAATGCGTTATGACATTTGAAATAATTCTGACTACACTTTGGCTTTGGAGAGGAATCATTTCATATAGACACAGGTACTTTTTATTAACTTCTTGTTCTTGCTATCTTAAATTCCTTAACAGTATATTTGCCAAAATACTTAGCATGTAAAAAAAAATAATCAAAAGCAGACTTCTGATTATTTATTTATTTTTAAACAGCTTCAAATTGAAGCTGAGACTTACCATAAACAAGTTGAGTGGTAGGCCTGGTATGCTGTGTCTTGTTACATAAAGCTATTGCCAGAATCTCAGTAAATAGAACATTTAAAAAATTTGTCATTGTATATTCATAACAAATTATGACAAGTTAAGTGAGAATTATATTATGCTCTTCCTGTGTCCTATTTTCCTAAGATTTCGTGCTTCATATCTACTGCTGAAGTGCTTAATGGTAATGTTACATGGAAATAATAGATCATTTTTACTTTGTTTTTATATAATGAGGTAACAAGAAACATAATTTGATGTACAATCCTGTCTGTTATAGAGGGCATGTTAATTACGGTGGCATATGCACAAAACATTTTGACATGACAAGAGGCTGAAGAAATAGCCATTTTACTTTAAAAAAAAAAAGATGTGATCCATAATGAGCTGATTTTGTGTAAGATGTGAGGTTTAGATCAAAGTTCACTTATTTTCTGTGGCTGTCCAATTGTTCCAGCAGTACTTATTGGAAAAGGCTATCCTTCCTCCACTCTACTGAATTAACTGTCTTTGTTTCTTTGTCAAAACTCAGATCGACATATTTATGTGGTTCTGTTTCAGGGTTCTTTATTCTATTCCTTGATCTATCCCTCTGCAATAACCACAAAGTCTTGATTACTGTAGCTGAACAATAAGCCTTAACACTGTAGACAACGAGTCCTCCCACGTCATTCCTCTTTTTCACACCTGTTACAGCCATTGTAGATTCTGCCTTTTCATATAAACTTTAGAGTAAGTTTATATTTACGAAAAGAAAAAAAAAATCTTGCTGTGATATTTAAAACTTTTTTTTTAATTTTTATTTTTATTTATTTATTTATTTATTTATTTTTTTTTTTACAAATAGTTTATTGTCAAATTAGTTTCTACATAACACTCAGTGCTCATCCCCAAAGTGCCCTCCTTCATGCCCATCCCCCCCTCCCCCCCACATCCATCAGTCCTCAGTTTTTGTCAGCATTCAAGAGTCTCTCATGGTTTGCCTCTCTCCCTTTCCCCCACCATTTCCGCCCTTCTTCTCCCCCTTGGTCCTCCGTCAAGTTCCTCCTAATCCTCCTATACGTGCAAACATATGGTATTTGTCCTTCTCTGCCTGACTTATTTCGCTCAGCATAACACCCTTTTTAAAATTAGGGTAAAAAATACATTTTTTAACCTTTTATTTATTTTTTTTTTAATTTTTTTTTAAATGTTTTATTTATTTCTAGGAGAGAGACAGCATGAGTAGAGGAGGGTCAGAGAGAGAGAGGGAGTCACAGACTCTGGAACAGCCTCCAGGCTCTGAGCTGGCAGTCAGCACAGAGCCCGACACGGGGCTCGAACCCACGAACCGTGAGATCATGACCTAAGCGAAAGTCGGACGGTTAACCAACTAAGCCACCCAGGCGCCCCACATTTTTTAACCTTTTAAAAAGATGTTTATTTATTTATTTTTGAGAGAGACAGAGAGAGCACAAGCAGGGGAGGTCAGAGAGGGAGAGACAGAGAGGGAGACACAGAATCTGAAGCAGGCTCCAGGTTCCGAGCTGTCAGCACAAAGCCCAATGCAGGGCTTGAACCCACGAATCATGAGATCATGACCTGAGCTGAAGTTGGATGCTTAACCGAACCACCCAGGCACTCCCCATTTTAACCATTTGTAAGTGCATGATTCAGTACTCTTAAGCAGAGATGATGGAAAGATTAGATAAGAGGATAGTGTGAATAACTTAGTGCCTATACATTTGAAAAAATGAAATAAATTAATATCTAGGAAAAGTTATTTTAAATGATTCAAACAGAAAGAGAAAATCCAAAACATCCTATAACTTTTAAAGAAGCTGAATCAACAGTTTTAGAAAATCTCCACAAATAAAACACCAAAATCTAATGATTTTACAGGAGAGATCTATCGAGTACTCAAGGTTCACACAGTTCTAATATTATATAATCTCTTCCAGAAAGAAGATAACTCAGTTTATAATTATTACTGGTTAGTTAACCTTGATGTAAATACCTAACCGGGAAAGCAAAAGGAAACTGGACGAATGGTGGTGTCACTCACTGAGAAAGGAGGCATGGGCTTTGGGGCTGAGGTCATAGGAATGACTATGTGCCGAAGGCAGGAGCTTGTGACTGTCCAGGTAGAGATGTCTAGGCGACAACCGAGAATGTTGGTCTGCAGCTCAAGTAGAAGCTGGGCTGGAGGTAGCACTGAGAATCACCAATACAGACAGTCCCCTAAGTCTTACAGGTGGGATGGAATTACCCAGGGAAACTGCGTGGGATGTGCCTGATCCCCAGACAACCCCAATATTTAAGGAAGGAGATCCCCTGAAGAGCCTGGCCAAAGAATCAGGCAAAGAAAGGACCAGAAAGGCCAGAAGAACAGGGACTCAAACCACTCTGTGAGAAAGAGAGGAGAGAGGGGACTGAAGAATTCAGTGACTGGCGTCCGCTAAGACACGATGGTTTCAGGATGTGGTGAGGGAAGCAGGCACTGCTGTGGGCTGATGGATGAGTGGTTAAGAGGAAGCACAGATACAGAGCCAACACTATGAGAAGGCTGGCCGAGGAAAGAAGCAGAGTGTCTAAGAGCAAAGGGAAAAGCAGATTAGAGGATGGACACTCTGATAGACACTAGACAGAAAAAGGAAAGTAGTTGGTGAGAAAAGAAACACAATAGAGCCTATCCTCACATTCCAGGAATGAAAAGATGGCTCTGTAGTCACAGTCCCAAGGCATGAGCATAAAATCACCATTTCAAACACATCGTCACTGATCAGTGACGACTTGCTTCTGAGAGTCGGCAAACAGCCACAGAGCAGTCCTGTCATGTTTCTCTGCCTAAAGGTGAACCAGTCCTTCCAAGTCCACCCAGCCCTGAATTCCACAAAGGGGGTAAAAGGGAAAAGTATGGAGGCAAGGCCCCTGAGGACAGAGGCAGATGATAAAGAGCTAAACTGAGGTCATGGGTCTTGGATAAGAGGGAGTCTACTCGTCCCGAGAACAAAGAAAAGGATCAAGGTTGGTAACATTGGTGGCAGCAGCAGGTGACATGCTTTCAGGTCACATACACAAAAAATGTGAGGCGGGGAGAGGCTACATGATCTGTCTAGGAGCAGGCCAGGACGCATCCCCACGTCGGACTACGGGGCCTGTGCGCTTACAGGCAACCTGGCGCTGCTGCCCATTACACTCCACTCTATCTTCCTTTAAACTCTGCCCGCATTTGCAGCATCTTTCCATACGGCACTTCCCACACTCTGGCTCTCACTGGTTAGAAGTGTGTTTATTTCATTTTTACCCACCTTACCCCAGAACTGAAGCTCTGTAGGCTTTGATGTGGCAAGTGCTCAATGAAGAAATGAATACAGTTGTAGTTACCAAACGTGTTATGTGCCGAGTTGCTTTCCAGAATGCATATCATTTCCCTTCTGAAGTGATTTAAGTCATCCCCATCACACCTTCCTTACGGTGTTCATGTGCTCAACACTCCTTTGCCACAGATACTAAAAGCAATACCATACACCTCATTTACCTCAAGTTCCCAATTAGTGGATTTAGTCTCCACTGAAGAGATTTCACTATGTCTGCAGGTGAGACCGGAAAGCACTTCTTACCTGAATTTTGATGGGCCAGGTGAAATTACTGACATAAACGAAGAAAGTGATATTTGGGTGGTTGCGAAAATCAAATTTCTCGTTAGAGAAGCTATCTTTGTACTCCTTAATGTTGGTTTTTGAAACAACAGGCATCTCTTCTCCAGCCTGGGTTCCAGCTGTCAGAAAGAAAAGAATGAATTTATAAGAGCCCCGTTTTTTGTTTTTTTTAATTTATTTTATGGACAGAACCTGGCCTCAATAAATAATGACAGTTAGCATTTACTGAACACTCTCTACATTCCACGAATAGCCTTTAAAAACACAGGCTCCTTTAAGTCTAACAACAACTCATTATTCTCATTTACAGATATCAGGAAACTGAGGTTCAGAGAAATTTAGTAACTTGGCTCAGGTCACACAGCTCGCAAGAAGCAGAGTTGAGATTTGCAGCAGGAAGGCTAATACGCAAGGCTGTGCCCTTAACCAGAATGCTTTTGCAGGGGTCTCTGCAATTCCTCAGCACTGAAACAGTTGACATGTAGCTGTGAAAATACAGATACCACTGGAACCTTGCTGACAAGCAAAGGCTCTTACTCTGCACATAACACTCCAACGGCTTTACCTTTCCCCTTTATACCTATTTGTCAGTGCTCCTGATCCCCCATATCAGGGCCAGTGAGTGCCCTCTCACTTCGTAACTAGCCATAACCTCATGTCTCCCATCCAAGTACTAACCAGGCCCGACCCTGCTTAGCTTCCAAGATCAGATGAGATTGGGCACGTTCAAGGTGGTATGGCTGTAGACCGTGACCTCATGTCTCTATAGCAGCAGGGAGGAAAGAGCTCTAGGGAGTCACTCAGTACCTTCTGTTATCAACTACAACTGTATTTAAATCCCCTCAATCTGGTATAAACTCATCCTCTTCCCAACAGTCCTTCAATATTCCATATTCTCCCTTAGCCAGAAATTCTAGTGTCTACAGATTCATAAAATAGATTTTTTCCCATGTCTGCATTAAATACTGTGTCTGGAGCCCAGGTTGTTGGGTCCTCATTGAGAGAATCATTGAAAAGCATTCACATGCTCAGAGATGTCTTTTTCCCAAGGCTCTGGTAATTCAGACTTTTTCCTTAAAAGCGTCTCCTCACTGCAAGTATCTAACCCTCTGAATTCTATACAGTCTTTTAAGACATGATAAACATGTCTTAAAATATTGTATCTTTTAAGATATGATAAATAGAATACATACAAAGGTTATATTTAATTTTGCTTCAGTCTGATTGGTCGTGTTGTGACCAAAAACCAGTACTGTAAGACTAACGATAGAGAAATGCTGTTAAAATTTAGTGAGAAATTACCATGTTTCAAGCACTACATTGACTACTTTGTCATTTCATCTTCACCATGCTCTGCATAGCTAGGTTTTTTTTTTTTTGTTCAAACCATTTTATTTTATTTATTTATTTTTTTTACAAATAGTTTATTGTCAAATTAGTTTCCACATAACACTCAGTGCTCATCCCCCCACCCCCCCACATCCATCAGTCCTCAGTTTTTGTCAGCATTCAAGAGTCTCTCATGGTTTGCCTCTCTCCCTTTCCCCTACCATTTCCGCCCTTCTTCTCTCCCTTGTTCCTCCGTCAAGTTCCTCCTAATCCTCCTATACGTGCAAATATATGATATTTGTCCTTCTCTGCCTGACTTATTTCGTTCAGCATAACTCCCTCAAGGTCCATCCATGTTGCTACACATGGCCAGATTTCATTTTTTTTCATTGCCATGTAGTATTCCATGGTATAGATAAACCACATCTTCTTGACCCATTCATCCGTTGATGGACACTTAGGCTCTTTCCATGTTTTAGGCATAGCTAGGTGTTTTAATCATCCCTTGTACACATGAGGAAACCAGCTCAGAAAGCTTAATTTGCCTAACTGCACAGTGCAGCATAGTAAATAACGGGCAGAGTTCAAACCCAGGTCTGCCAAGCTATGTTTGTAAGCACTACATCAGGCCCACCTGTTACTTCTTCAGATTTTCTTTAGTAAACTGTAGCAAGATAAACACGATAGCAAACACTATGCTCTGAGTCTTGATTTAACTCCCAAAGTGTATTTCCCTTTACTTACTAAGGTCTCATCCTATTTAAAATATTTCCATTTCTTGAAACTCTGAGTCTTTTCCATACTTTACTTCTGCAGCATACACCAGGAGGACAATGGGAGTGCCAGAGCAGTGGCTGTAGCAATGCTATTAAAGCTGGTAGCAGGGCAGGGGTGGTGAGCACGTGCTGCCTGACCCCATGGAAGGCGCTGGCACATATAGCCTGCACAGCAGCTACACAGCAATTTTAGGAATAAGCATTGTTATCTTCTCTTTACGATAAAGAACCCTAAGGTCCAGGGAGGGGTTTAGACACTCGTTCAAGGTCTCGCAGGTAATAAGTGGCAAAAGCGGGTTTCAAATCCACCTGTCTGTCCCCAGAGCCCCCATTCTCAACTCCTGCATCACATTTCTCAGTCGACTACCCCCACCTGGAAGGTCTTCTCTAGGAATGTCTTTACCTGAGAAGCTGGCGGCCCAGGTGATGTTGAGGTTGAAGTTTTTGGAGGCATTGATGAACATGTCCAAATCCCTGTTTTGCTGATGAGAGGTGCAAACAGAAAATTAATTATAACAGTTTCCCGATTTTAAAATGAAACAGTAATTCAATTTGACTACTCTCAATTTTCTTAATTACAAAACGGATAATTTATACTCTTAAAAGAAACTCACACTTATAAAATATGAGTAACATTTCTAACCGATATATCCCAGATAAATTTCACCTCTCTCTCTTAAAGGTATATGTAATTTAATGCTTTATCAAATGCCTAACTTCCTGAAAAAGTATCTTTTAAAAAACCCTTCACCAGAGCACAATGACTTATACTGTATGACCTATGTTAGGGGAAGGAGCCTTGTGAGCATCATCTAGGCAGTTCAGCTCCAAATGGCTGGAAAGCTCACGCTAATATGTAAACACTTAAGTCCCCAGTATATGTGTATTTTATAAATTAAACCTATGTACTTCTGAAGTGATAGATTATATATATTGTAAAGTTCTTCAAACGGAAATGGTTTTTTTTAAAAAAAGCATATAAAGCTGAACTTAACTTAAAAAATACTTTGTGTCCATTTAGGATTTGAAAAAAAACATTTTTCTCTCACTAAAAATATTATTTCAAAAGAAATATGACTGAATATTCCTCATTGGCTTTGAAACCTTATTTACCACTTAGCTAGAACAATTAGAAGAGCTAGGTTATTGTGATTCTTGATTTTAATGACTGAAAAAGACATCTCTGAGAAATGCGCTGAGCCAATGGGAAGAAGTACAATGCTGGCTACACTGGGTAAACTGATGCTAATTTTTAGTTTTCAATGAAATTTGACTAATAAGTCTCTCTCTTGTGGCCAAAGAATTGTTTTTGCAAATAAATCAAATGTTGTATTTTTATATTTTATAAATGGATCCAGTCTGCTGAAATTCTTCATCTTTAAAGAGATCAAAAAAACAAGTCAGATCAATAAGATTTGTAATGGTATTTACAGCACAAAATCACAACAGAAACATTTCCAAATAGTCATTTTCAAAATGTGATCTCCAATCCAGAAGTTTCTCTTGCAAAGCAGTTAGTTACGTTCTCATTTACTCATATAACCTCATCTTCTTCTTGCAGGGAACAGCTCAAGTATTTGTCTATGTTTACTGGAAGCACACTACTAATAATTACGTCTTTTGGAAAGAATCAATAAATTTGAAATCCTAGTGCTTTTATAAAACACAGAACATACACACTGGATAACTCTATTAAATATTCTGTCATAAAATAAACAGGGAACTCCAGAGAGGTCAAAAGATTTTTGTAGTCATTCCTTGCCTCATTAAGAAGTATTACCAGGAGTCTATTTATTTAAAATAAAATCAACAACATCAATCACATCCCGAAAGACTACTTCAACCACTTGCTCAGGAATAAGGTATTAAATAAATTTCATGTGCGGTACTTTTGCTATAACCTTATCCTAAAATCTTTTTTTTTTTTTTTTTAAATTCTAGTCACTACAGCCACTTAACTAGTATGATATACAGTGTGTCCACATAGTATTTTCATTTAAGGTTATTTATTATTTTTACTTAAAAAGAAATTCACTCACTGAAATACATTTTCTCTAGTACATTTTTCCTTAAATTTCACCTTTAAAATAGAACTTAAAAAACAAATCTTACTTTCATTTCATTGTATAGTAAACATCCCACACTCTGGATTTTGTTCTACTACTAATTTATTTATTTTTTAAATTTAGTAATGTTTGTTAACAAAGGAATATAAATGGGCCTACTGTCATATTATCTTCTGTGTATCATTCATCATGTTTATTGTGACAGGAATTTTGTGACAGTAAATGGCTTTGTGTATGTTAATGAGAAATAAGAAAGCTTCAAAGAGGTTCCTAAATAATTTATCATCAAGTTTAGTGAAATTTCATTATATACTGGAGTGGCCATTGAATGACTTTATATTTCATCGAAGAAATCGTAGATAGGAAGAAATGGTCTAGATGCTTCACTTTTATTTTTTTAAAAATTTTTTTAAAATGTTTTTATTTATTTCTAGGAGAGAGAGAGACAGCGTGAGCAGGGGAGGGTCAGAGAGAGAGGGAGTCACAGACTGAAACAGGCTCCAGGCTCTGAGCTGGCAGTCAGCACAGAGCCCGACGCGGGGCCCGAACCCACGAACCGCGATATCATGACCTAAGCGAAAGTCGGACGCTTAACCGACTAAGCCACCCAGGCGCCCCTAGATGCTTCACTTTTATTTTTTTTTATTTTTTATTTTTTTAAATATTTTTTATTTATTTCTAGGAGAGAGAGAGAGACAGAGAGAGACAGCGTGAGCAGGGGAGGGTCAGAGAGAGAGGGAGTCACAGACTGAAACAGGCTCCAGGCTCTGAGCTGGCAGTCAGCACAGAGCCCGACGCGGGGCTCGAACCCACGAACCGCGAGATCATGACCTAAGCGAAAGTCGGACGCTTAACCGACTAAGCCACCCAGGCGCCCCTAGATGCTTCACTTTTAAATGTCAAGCTATGTTGACGCCCTTCTACCCTTAGATGGTACCTTATGGCAGGCTGTGGTTCATCATTAATGAAAAAAGATATAAACCCACATTTCAAACAGTCTTAATAATTTCTGGTCAACTTCTTGTTGGACCTGATTGCACCTTCACCGTTTTATCTCCTACTGAGGCTAACAACTTATTCTAGGCACAGAAGTGTCACCTCTGTATCGTCCTGTTATCAATGGCATTCATTTCAATCTGCAGTTTCTTTGCAGGTACTTGTTAAGCGTCTGGTCCATTCTGAGAGTAAATCTGGGCCTTGCCATGTGTCCCTCTAACAGGGGAGCTCCTCTTACAGTCTGCTCTCCTTTCCTGTATGGGGCAGCAATGGGCTGATGGGCAAACCAAGTATGTGTGGAGTTAGTGTCAGCCTGTATATCAGATCCTGATAAATCTTAACAAGCCACTCTTGCCTTTGAGATGGAGAGAAGATAAAATGTAGATCCTAACACTTCTTTCCTGCACTTCTGAAGGGTCCTGGGTACTCTACTTTGGAGACCATGCTAATGCAGTGCTTCTAGCCGTAAGGATCAAGAAAAAGAGCCACATGAATTCAAAACAAGGCAAGAAAACTTTTAAAGTCTTACTTCATCAGGTGTCGCCACAAAATTGATGGCTGTGTAATAGCGGTCATCTTCCTGGGACAGGCTAAAGGTGAACTGATAGTCAATAAGAAGAGTATCTATAGAAAGAAAGAAATGTATATTCAAAAATTAAAACAAAACAAAATAGAACAAGTCTTTAGAGATACAGACTGATTTTCTTATAAATATTCAATAGCCAGTAAACACTTTGAGATCACTTATAACTGGGAACTGGGAAGTTTTTCAAAGGAAATAAAGTCTGTGGGCAGTATTGTTTTATTTGGAATAATCTATCAAACTCTCCTTGTATCATGACCCTGGCTGAGATGTTAGGCTCCAACTTCACTCACCTACAAATATTAATTGTACATCTATTACATGCTAGGTTTTGCTTAAGGATACAAAGCTATAAATTAATGATCTAAAAAGAACCGAGACTACATGGAAAAATGGCTGATTCCAGGTCTGGAGCAAAGAATATGTGCCCTGACTATTTTATTCTAGAAAGCAAGAAAGCATTCAAACACTAAAGTGATGCAGCAAAAGAACAGAGCTTTAAAGAGAGCCTAATGGCCAAAGACAGTATAGCTTTTTTTTCCTCTAGTCCAAAAAACGTGGTTTTATTAAAACATGGGGACAGAACCCGTGGGCAGAAAGAGCTGCCCAAAGATGGTATAATTTAATTCTAAAAAGTCTATTGTACAACTCAACAACCTGATTTAAAAATGGACAAAGGACCTGAATAGCTATTTCTCCCAAGAAGATATACAAATGGACATGAAAAGATGCTCAACATCATTAATCATTTGGAAAATACAAATCAAAACCACAATGAGACACCACCTCATGCACAGTAAGATGGCTACTACTGAAAGAAAAAAAAAAAAAAGAAAAGAAAAAGTGTTGGTGAGGATGTGAAAAACTGGAAACCTTGTACACTACTGGTGGGAATGTGAAATTGTGCAGCTAATGTGGAAAACAGGATGGTAGTTTCTCAAAAAATTAAAAGTAGAATTACCAAATGATCTAGCAATTCCACCTCTGAGTCACACCTAAAGAGTTGAAAGTACGATCTTGAAGTGATATTTGTACACCATGATCACAGCAGCCAAATAGATCACGGCTATTATTCACAATAGCCAAATGATGGAAGCAATCCAAAGGTCCATCAATAGTAAACATAAAGTGGAATATTAAAAAGGAAGTAAATTCTGACATATACTACAACCTGGAACAATCTTGAAGACACTATGCCAAATGAAATAAGCCAGTCAGAGAAGACAGATACTGTATGATTCTACTTCTATGAGGTGCCTAAAGCAGCCAACATTATAGAAACAGAAAATAGAATGGTGACTGCCAGGGGCCAGAGAAAGAGGGAAAGGGAGAGTTGTTGTTAAGTTTATTTTTTTATTGTTTAAGAAACTGCCAAATGGTTTTCCAGAGTGCCTACACCATTTTATGTTCCCACAGAGAATGTGTGCATGAAGGTTCCAGTTTCCCACAGCATTGCTAAAACTTGGTATTTGATATTGGCTTTATTTTCCAAGACAGGTTGTAATGTACCAGATTACAAAACATTCACTGATAGGGTTTCGAGTTCCACATTTAATTGATCTTTAAGAAATAACCTGTTTGTCTAGTTTTGGTATGATATCATAGTATACATAATAAACTGGAAAGGTTATTAAAATACGCTACCCCTTTCCAACTATATCTGGTGAGACAAGGTTTTTAAAAATGTACTTTAACCAAAGAGATGTATTCAACAGACCAAATGCAGAGCAGAAGTGAAAATCTAGTTATCTTAAGTTATTATTAAGCCATGATGCTAGTCATTCTAGGGGTGTGTCTCACTGTGGTTTTAATACACATTCTCCAAACGTGTGACGTTAATATGTCTTTTGTTCATGTTGGCCAACTGTCTTTTTTAGTGAAATGTCTCTTCAAATCATTCCTTGTTTTCAACTGGAATTGTCTCCTCATTCAGTTGTAAAAGTGTTTTTTTAATATATTCTGGATATAAGCTCCTTATCAAATACATAATTTGCAAACATTTTCTCTTCTCTGTGGCTTTTTACTTTTTAATGGTATTCTTTTAAATAAAAGTTTTAACTTTTGATAAAGTCCCAATAAATTTTCTTCTTTTGGGGCACCTGGGTGGCTCAGTTGGTTGAGCATCCAACTTCGGCTCAGGTCATGATCTCAAGGATCGTGAGTTCGAGCCCCGCCTTGGGCTCTGTGCTAACAGTTCAGAGCCTGGAGCCTGCTTCGGATTCTGTGCCTCCCTCTCTCTCTCTCTCTCTCAAAAATAAGTAAAAATTAAAAAAAAATTTTTTTAAATAATATTTTCTTTTATGAGTTGTGCTTTTAGAATCATATCTAAGAACTCTTTCCCCTACACAAAATTATAAAGTTTTTCTCTGGTTTCTAAAAGAGATATATGTATATTTACATTTGTTATATACGTGCACATACATTGTAATGTATGCATATATATGTGCGCACACATATACAATGTATGTATATATGTGTATGTATTGTACATAATTGTGTGTGTGTGTATGTGTGTGTGACATTTATAAGTTTCAGGTAGACATGAATTTTGAGTGGATGCTATTCAACCCAGGAAAGCAGGTACAAAATTATAGTGGATATGGCAAAACATAACCTCTGTTTCTCTGGTTCTGAAACTTTGCTTACTATGTGGATTTTCCTATAGGAAGAAAATGCACTTACCCATAAGGACCTGGTCCCCTTGCCGGATTTACCTTTCACTGTAAGTTAATCATTAAATATTTTATTTACTAGTTCCTGAAGAGGTGATTAACACGAATGTAGTAAGTGTGAAAGAATGGAAACACATCAAATCAGGACACACCTCCATGAATGGCTGCTATATTCTTATAGCACTTATCATTCTCAAACCATGTTAAAGTATGAAGTTTTACTGAGCTATTTTGCCTCTAGATAAATATGAATTGTGAAAACACTTACAATAGCATGTTCCTTTGAGAGGGTTTCCCTGGTATCGATTTTCTACCTCACATCTAGGAGGATAAAAATGAAGATTATTTTCTATTGCTATGCAAAACAGAGTCTACATTCATTTTAAGATTAAGCAGGTCCTTTTAATATAAAACTAAACTGAAAACAAGTCTGAGTCTGTAAAATTACATTCTTCTCTGTTCCTCAGATTAGGGAGCTTGATAAGAGTCTGCGCTCAGGTTCAGTACTGACCGCCCAGCAGTTCACACCACTGCCAACTGATACACATTTGCTGAAGTGCAGGAGACAGATCCAAATATAATAAACCTGGATCCCAGGTTTTTTGAAAACACATGAAAAACACATTTTTACTTTTGTGTGGACTCAACAGTCCTCTAAAAGTGAAGTGAAAACATTTTTCAAATACTCATTTCTCACTTCCTTCCTGTTCTTCCTGTTCTTTAAATACAAGCAGGCAAAGGCTAAACCCTGAGAATCACATTTATTTATTTGTTTGTTTGTTTGTTTGTCTGTTACACCTTTGAACATGGTTCATCAGTCTGGAGAAAAAAAAAAACCTAATAAAAAAGAATCATTACCCCCTCGCCAATATCATTTATGAGCATCAGCAAAACCCAGTCTCCCACTTCACAAGGCCATTCATGCTGGCAGGCCCAGGAGCTAAGAGCTATAAGGAAGGGAGGAAGGCTTGGGTCAAGCGCTCTTCCCAGATATATAATATGAGATACTGTGTCCTTTGATCCAAGGTGATACTTAGGCACTTGCTTGTCTAAAATCTCTTGAAGAGAAAGTCGTATTTTACTGGACCTGTACCTCATTTCATTCTCTCTTGCTGCCTGCGAGAAGGAGTGATTCATTTTGTTCTATTATATTTTTCTAGTTAAAGGAGCCTAGGGGTCCCTGGGTGGCTCAGTGGGTTAAGCGTCTGACTTCGGCTCAGGTCATGATCTCATGGTTCTGGGTTTGAGCCCCGTGTTGGGCTCCGTGCTGACAGCCAGCTCAGAGCCTAGAGCCTGCTTCAGATTCTGTGTCTCCCCCTCTCTCTGACCCTCCCCTGCTCGCGCTCTCTCTCTGAGATAAATAAAAACATTAAAAAAAATTTTTTTTAAAGGAGCCTAGATCCCAAAGCTAAACTTAATCTTTGATTAGACATTTCTTCACATACTGGCATTAAAGCATCATGAAACCGGTAAATATGCATAGCAGTGTAAACTATAAAATGCAGACAGAGCAATTCCTTCCTTGAACATCACTATCAAGGTCTGGGTCACTGGGGACATTATTACTACTGTTCTTTGGGGGAAAAAGTTTACCAATGATGCATCTGCTTGTATCAGCTCAATGCTGTGATATTACACATTTCTCTCATTCAAGCCTCTTCTTGAGAGAACGAGTAAACCTGGAACACGTGTTTTATGAGGTTTTCTGGTGAGGCAGACAGGTATATACTTCTTGGGGAACAATCTCTTGTTTCAACTCACCAGAACACTAAAAACAGTTATTGCTAGTCCTGCTACTGATGAATAGGGAAACTGAGGCCCAGCTTGGTTAAATGATTTGTCTCAAGAGAACCCTGCTCAGTGGAGGCACAGCCAGGGCTAAAGCTCCATGTCTGGCTGACTCTGTTTGCATCCTCATGGATGGGAACCCTAGACTCTTCCTTGGACGATGTCTGACACACCTCACCAAGGAAAATGCTAGAATAAAGAGGGATGGGTTAAAGCTCACAGGATCATCTCTACTATCAGACCATCAAAATGCTATATAAAACACTGTCCTAGAATACCAGTTCTTCCAACTCTTTCTTGGGAAAGGGTGTAATCCCCGGATGTGACAAAAACTGAGTAGCGACTGAGGTGAAAAGATGAATCCAAGTCGGGAACCCAGGAAATGTTGGTGTCACTCAAACATAAAAAGGTGAACTAAAGAGCCATTAGGAACTGCTGCTGAGCCCACGCCCTCCTCAGTATGGAGGCTGATCAAATTAGACCTGTCTGAAGTAGAAAGGGCGAACTTCCAAACCCATCAACCCGGGGATGCCCCAGAGCCCATGACAACAAGGCACAGGCCCAGCCGGCCTGGCTGTCAGTCACTGACTTCAGGTGTGGCCTGTGGCAGGGGCCGCGGGGGGGGGCGGTGGGGGGGTGTGGTACTCACAGCTGGCACTCGTCCCCCTTGACGCCCTTGGTGGTACAAAAGCACTTGCCCGTGTTGGTATTGCAGAGTGATGCGTGCCCATTGCACTTGCACGCTGCAGGGAGGAAAAGGAACCGAGGTCACAACTGGCTTAAGAGATTACTACTATCACAGACTTTTTCTAAAACACATAATTTTATCTGGATTAGATTTGATAGGAAATACAGATGAAAATGAAAGCATTTAATGGATAAGATTCAAGTTTTTCAGCTAATGATTTACCTCAAATAATGTAAAGGCAACAGTAAAAGACCCAAAGACCAAGGACAGGAGGAAAGAGAGTGCTGGTTCCCACTGCCATCTGAAGCAACCATTTTGATCTATTTTGATATTTTTGATAGATGAGTTTCACCATTATGACGAACTCATTCAGTATTTGTGAAGCATCTCCAGTGTGGCGCTGGGTGTGGGGACACAGACACAGTCCCGGCCCCTGCTGAGATGCTCTGAGTAAGGACCACCCCTCATGGGAGGCTTGGTCTGGCCGCTCAGCCTCAGCTGAGGTGCCTGCCCCACAAAGGCCATGTTTCAAATCCTAACTGGGCTCAGATCTGGGGTGAAACTGCAACAGCAGGTCAGAGGTCCCATGAGGCTCGCTACCCTGGCTTCCTCTTTAGCCTCTGCGAAGACAACTCCTGTCACTTCCTCCTCTAGCCATCAACAAATCACCTTCTTCATCCAACACATAAGTGTGAGCCAGCACACATTTCATATGCCAGGTGAAACGAGTCTTTTGCTCAATACCTTTTCACTTTACACCTTGTTTTTCTGTAAATAAATTGAAGGCACTAGGGCTGAAGACAGGTGTACTTTTAAAATAAATCCTATGAAGAAAAACATCGCCCAAAGAAACTCGTGAAACCGAATAGTGCAGCGGTTAAGAGCATGGATGCTAGAGTCAGAAGCACGAGTGTTCCGCTCCTGGCTCTGCTGGGTACGGAGAGGAGTGTGGTGTGTTAGCAAGAAGCTCAGGCCTGATGTCAGGTTGTCTGGGCACCAGTTCATTCTCCCGCACTTAGCTCCTCTGTAACTTTGGGCATGCTATTTACCTTCTCTAGGCCTCACTTTCCTCATCCATAAAATGGGGATGAGAACAGTATCTACTTCACAGGCTAGCTGCAAGTATGATGGGAGATAATATGTGAATGAGACATAGTAAGCACTCAATACATCACGGCCACTGTGCTTCGCTAAGGACTACAGAATTCTAAGAAGAAAACATTAAAAGCTTGGTGCCATGCACAGTATTTTAAAATCATGCTATTATAGATTGAGGCTCTGAAAAAGAAAGCTAGCGCTAAATTCTGGACAAGTGAACTCAAGCCCCACAAATACCTCAGAAGACGTCATTATTCTAAATGGCAGCTGCAGATAGGGGATGATGTCACCTGGAGGCACAAGCAGGCCCAGCAGTCAGTCCCATGTCCTGGACGTAGTTCCCCGCATGGCCATCAGCTGCAGTGAGCTTTTAGGCAGAATGCGTGGTCTTGGGGATGATACAGGTGCCCGAGGGGGCCTCGGGCACAGCGTCTTGTGTACATTCCCACCCAGTAATGCCAGGTACTCTGACTGCTACTGAATGGATGAAGTCCAGTCACAATGAGAAGGAAAAATATTTTTACTAAATATCTTTTAATCTGAGCAAGAATTTTTACTTAAGAGTGGTGGGAAAGGGCAGTAGGAGAGTACTAATAACTGCCCACATATGCTGACCGCTTTCATCTCAACCCCTACCCTATTCTCCCCATTTTACAGATGAGGAGACTGAACCCCAGAGAGGTGAAGAGATATACTGCTAAAATGCCAGCTCTCTCCTGGTTGCTCTGGGATCAGATTCTTGAGGACCGTGCTAGGGAGTTTAGAAGTGGGATTTGGGAAGTAAGCAAAGATTTTCCTTATTTACTTTCTGCTCAGAATCTGAGGGGTCTTCCCAATGGAAACAAGAATAAGCCAAAAAGCAGTTCATCAGTCCTACCGGTCATTTAAAGAACATATTAATTTATGTTCTAACACCGTGCTCTCATGTGTCTGCATTCCTAGCTCAGGGGCCTGCATTCCCTAGCCTCTTTATCTGAGGTCTGGGACAGACCTTCTTGCCTCTGCTGAGCCTCCTCAGCGGGGAGAAGGGGGAAGCCCTGAAGACACTGTCCCTGAGTTTAATAAGGTCCCCGGTACTTTCCCACTCCCCTCCCCTCCCCAGGTCCCTTACAGGCTTCTGCTGGAGCCTGAAGCCTGCTGTTCAGGGCTCTCCCCACCTCTGTGCTGACCCACCTGAGGCTCAACCAGTTGCGGGGTGGGGGGGCGGGATGACACGAGGGGACTCAGAGCTTTCTCTGGTCCAGGTTTAAGCCGTGAGTGATTAAAGGCTTAATTCTTCCATTTTTGGCTTGTTGCTTTAACTGGCTACTCAGATACTTGGCAGCCCTGCTCACTCGCTCCCCTACTCAGCTGAGCTCCTGACAAGTATGACAAAGAAATGCAGTATCCAAAACCAAGTGGCTTTTTTCCTCCTAGATATTTAAGTCAAACAGAAGCATGGTATTCTGCCTGGTTTGCAGCCAGTAACCCCGAGGGCCGTGACTCACGCTGACATCTTCCGCCATTGGTAGGGTCCCCATAGAAGCCAGATATGCAGGTCTCGCAGTGCTTGCCCGTGGTCAGGTTCTCACACTTCTCACAGATGCTCTGATTAATGCATTTGCTGTGCCCATTGCACTGGCAAGCTGAAAGAAAAAAGAATCTGAAGGGGCCTGTCCCTTGGTAAATAGGGTGGAGTAAGTTCCACGAGATTACTTGCAACTGTCTGTTTATTACCTTATTACCTCTAAATACAAAATCATTAAAACTGGCCCACTCAAAACTAGTTGGAGAAATAAGATCAAAACATCCATACCAGGCTGGTCCAGGAAAATCAGAAACATACCATAGCAAGGTAAAAGTCTACAGGCATTAAAAAAATAATTTGCTGTTGTTCATAAAATAATATATAATCACAAGAGTAAATTTGAAGAATATAAGGGAGGGAGGAAAATGATATTCAACCGCACCACCCAGAAATCACTGTGCACATTTGGAATTTTAGCTCCAGTATTTTCTGTATACAGTTTAACACAGTTTGTGCTCATATTAATACTCAATTTTAATTTTTAAAAAATCTACAGCATGGTTACTTTACCATGTTATTTCATCTATCATAAATAAAACTAAAACATTTTTAATGTTTATTTATTTATTTATTTGTGAGAGAGAGAGAGAGCATGCAAGCAGGGGAGGGGCAGAGAGAGAGGGAGACACAGAATCCAAAGCAAGCTATAGGCTCTGAGCTGTCAGCACAGAGTCGAATGCGGGGCTTCAATTCACAAACCGTGAGATCATGACCTGAGCCAGAGTTGGACACTTAACCAACTGAGCCACCCAGGCGCCCCATCATAAACAAAACTTTAAATGGCAGGATGATTTCTAGGAATCGTAAGTTACTTAACCATTCCTTTACATCCTGATATTTAGTTTGCACTCCTTTTTCTCTTTTAAAAAAATAAACACTTTATGTACACAAACATTTACACAAGTGGAATTAGTAAGATTCTTGATGCATACAGGGCTTTACAACTAGAAAGGTACATAAAACCTGGGCCTCTCAGGATGCTGTTCCCTGCAGACTCCAGCAGGGTCATCCACAGAGTGCATAACCCATACCACTACAGACAGAAGATCTCATTGTGCAAATCTGTCTTTTCCCCTCCGGCTTTACTGGGATACTACTCACATATAATGCTGTGTAAGGAGTGCAATGCATTGATTTGATACACTTATATATCACTAAATTATCACTACCATAATGTTAGCTAACACTTGCCTCATGTCACATAGTTACTATTGCCTTTTTGTGGTGAGAACATTTAAGGTTTATTTTTCAGCAACTTTTGCAGATCTTTCTTGGTTGATCAACGTGATACAAGTTTTCACCATGTTGGCAACCTTCCAGAGCCTCACATCTGTTCTGTTTACCCATCTCTTTTCTAATCCCTGCAGCTATTTGACTTGTTCTATACAGACTGCAACTGAAAAACTTAAAATGACTCTATCAGTTGGGAATGCATAAAAAATACTTGGTGTGGGATATACATGTTCCTGTGAAGATGAACAATCTGTATAGATGTCAAAAGGGCAAATAATACACACACAAAATATAATACCTAAATTCATTTACCAATAAAATCTGTAGTCTAGTTCAAGATAAAAATATTGAACACATGCTTCTTATTCTCTCTCTCTCTTTCTCTCTCTTCCCCTTCAAAAACCCTCTGAAACTATAGTAAAAAAAAAAAGTAAAAACAAGGATAAATCAATAGGAGTATGGGATAAGAAGAAAAGGTGCTATCAGAAGTGTATTGAGAGATACTTCTGAAAAACTGAACAATTTCTAGAAATTATAAAACAGATAGTGTCTGATATCTAAAAAAAAGGGGGGGGGGAGTTGAGACATTCTGTCTCCTTAATGTAGAAGGAGGGGACGGCCAAAGTGACTAGATGCACTTTACCAACTGACACTTGAAAACTCCAGCTGAGGCTGGGAGACAGAGCAAGCTTCGGGAAGAGTGGCAGATATCAGGAAGTACCTCATGACCAGCTCTGTGTCTGTTCAACCTCACACAACATACAAAAATAAACCCCAAATGGAATGTGGACCTAAAAAGAAGGGAAAAAAATCTTAAAAAGAAAACATAAGGGGCACCTTGGTGACTCTGTCAGTTAAGCGTCAGGCTTTGGCTCGGGTCATGATCTCTCAGTTTGTGAGTCTGAGCCCCGTGTCTTGCTCTGTGCGGACAGCTCAGAGCCTGGAGCCCGCTTTGGATTCTGTGTCTCCCTCTCTCTCTACCCCTCCCTTCTTGTGCTCTCTCTCTCTCTCAAAAATAAGTAACCTCTAAAAAAATTATAAAAAAAAATAAAAAGAAAACATAGGAGGAGCACCTGGGTGGCTCAGTCAGTTGAGTGTTTTAACTCTTGATTTTGGCTCAAGTCATGATCTCCCAGTTCGTGGGACTGAGCCCCACATCAGGCTCTGTACTGACAATGCAGAGCCTGTTTGGGATTCTCTCTCTCACTCTCTCTCTGCCCCTCTCCCCTAGTGCATCACTCACTTTCTCTCTCTCTCTCTCTCTCTCAAACATAAAAAAAAAAAAAAGAAAGAAAACAGGAGTAAATCTCTGTGATCTTGGGTTAGTCAGGCATTGATTTCTTAGATACAATACCAAAAGCACATGGGATAAAAGGAAACACTGATACACTGGACTTAGAAAATTTAAAACTTGTACATTTCAAAAGATACCACCAAAAGAATAAAAAGAAACCCACAGAATGGGAGAAAATATTTGCAAATCATACAGTCAATAAGGGACTAAGGGACTTGTATCTAGAATTCGTAAAGAATGTCAATAAGAAAAAGACAAATAATGCAATTTAAAAACTGGCACAGAATTTAAATAGACATTTCTCCAAAGATGACACAAATGGCCTGTAAGATGCTTAACTTCATCAGTCATGAGAGAAATGCAAATCAAAACCAGTGTAGTACTGTTTCTCACATACTAGAATATCTGCAATCAAAACTGGGACACAAGCATTGATGAGCATGGGGAGAAATCGCAACCTTCTCGGACTTCCAGTGAGAATGGAAAATGGTGCTGCTACTTTGGAAAACCCTATGCACATTATTCCTCATGCTTCCTCCCAGCCCTAGTCAATCGTAAAACTATTTTTTGTCTCTGCATAGTTGCTCTTTTTTGGACATCTCATATAAATGGTATCATAATAATATACAGTCTTTGAATCTGACTGGCTTTACATAGCATGCTTTTTAGGCTCATCCATGTCAGAGAATACAGTACTTTGCTCCTTTGTGTTGCCTAATACTATTCCATCATATGGATGTATCACATTTTGTTTATCCATTCGCCAGCTGACAGACACTGGGTTGTTTCCACTTTTGTCTATTATGAATAATGCTGCTATGAGCATTCACTGCAAGTTTTTGGGTGGACATATGTTTTTAATTCTCTTGGGTATATACTGGGCCACATGACAACTCTATGTTTAACTTTTTGAGGAACTGCCAAATGGTTTTCCAAAGTGGCCACACCATTTCATATTCCTTCCAGCAATGTGTGAGGGTTCCAATTCTTGAATGTTGTTGAGCATCTTTTCATGTGCTTATTGGCCATTTGTGTATCTTCTTTGGAGAAATGTCTATTTCAATCCTTTACCCATTTCATAATTGGGTTTTGTTTTTTTTAACTGTTGAGTTTTAAGAGTTCTGTATGTATTCTGGACTTTAGACTCTTACCAGATACTATATATGATTTGCAAATATTTTCTCCCACTCTGTGGGTTGTCATTTCACCTCACATATTCTTGATATTAACAAAAATGCATGGATTTAAATATTTCATGAATGAAACTCGTAGATTAGAAACAGATTATAGATCCTTTGACCTCTTGGGAAAAAAGGAACACAGAAAATTTAACTCAATTTGGTAGACAAAAAAAACTGGCTGCTTATTTTACATTTCCCTGCTCTGTTTCCTTGTCTGAGAATGACTTCTTTACATCCTCTGCCCACCTTTTCTGTTGAGCTTCCAGAGTTTTTTCTGAAGGACAGAGATTGACATCTTCTGGATGATAATCTTATTTACACTGCACATATTCCCCCCAGCCTGTCTCTTGCCTTTTACGGTTACCTCCAGTGTCTTTCCCTTACAGAAGTCCTCGCTGCCCTGTTGTCAGAGGCACTGTGTGTGAGACTCTTGGAGAAGTTCTTACCCACTAGCCTCCTGGGGTTTCTGCACCTGCCTAACCTCTCCCAGCTGTTCTGGAGGCCCATCAGCACACTCCTGAGTATTTACTGAAAGTCTGAATCAAAGGCCAATTTCTCAGGGTTGATTTCTCAGGACAAGCCTTCCCAACTCATGGTCTATTCCCTTCACTGGAAGGAAGGGGGAGGAAGGGAACAGAGGGAGAGAGGGAGGGAGGCAAAGAGGGAGAGCAGGCAGGCAAGCCTCATTTTTCCTCTTGCCAAAAGGGATAGGGACCTTCCCCCCTCCTCCCTTTTCTAGAGCACTCAAGGAAACCTGTTTTTACAAATCCTTTCTCTTTTCCTTTGATATGTATATGTATGTAAATCTTTTCAAAAACATAAATAAACCTCTTGTCAGCACAACAGTCGGAGGAATGTTTTTCTTAAGGGCCTGGGAGCCATCACTTTGAAATGTAAACATCAAGGAAGACAGCCCCCTATCTCCTGTCACTTTGGGAATTTAGTCTGGGTGCATTAGTGCCCAACGTAACCACCTATGTAAATAATGGATTGTATATGCCTATTTAAAAAGGTGTGATTTCTTGTGGTTTCTGCAATCCCATTAGTGGATTGCCTCTGAGGTGTACCATAGTCTGATTTAATGCTTATTCAAAATAAAACTATTTTCTTTTTTTTCTACATTTGTGAAGAGGAATTTCTGGGTTGGCAGGAAATTTATTTTTCATTTTTCCTCTAACAATTGCCACAATGTATTTTTCAGTAAAAAGCAAACTAGAACAATAGATATATTAATCCTATATAGCATAGTAATTTCTATTTTTTAAGCTTATTTATTTAGAGAGATAGTGAGAGTGGGGGAGGAACAGAGAGAGAGAGAGAGAAAGAAAGAGAGAATTCAAGCAGGCTCTAGCTGGCAGTGCAGAGCCCAGTGAGGGGTTTGAACTCACAAAACTATGACATCATGACCTGAGCTAAAACCAGAGTCGCAAGCTCAACTGACTGAGCCACTCATGCACCTCAGTATTTTCTATTTTTAAAACAGAAACTGGTATATCTGAAGGTGTCTATATTAAACCATTAAAAGTTTTTACCTCTATGAAGAACTGGATGTGAGAGGAGGAATTCAGTTTTTATCTACATCTGCAATATTTGTTTATAATGAACATACTTTATTACTTCTGTAATGAAAGCAAAACACTTCACTTGAACTTCTGTGTTTTCATTAATCGACATTGAAAATACTTTTCAGGGGCACCTGGGTGGCTTGGTCAGTGTGTCTGACTCTGGATGTCAGCTCTGGTCATGATCTCACAGTCGTGGGATTGAGCCCCTCAGGCTCTGCACTGGCAGTGTGGAGCCTGCTTGGGATTCTCTCTTCCTTTCTGACTCTCCCCAGCCTACGCTCACTCGCTCACTCTCTCAAAATAAATAAACTTTAAAAACAAAAACAAAATTAGTTTAAAAAATATTTTTTCATGCAAAATGATTTCTCCTAAAATGATGTTATATTTTTTTACTAAAGGAAATTAATATAAATAATGTAGCTTTCAAAGCTTTATTCTTTGTAAATAGGCAGCGAAATGCTTGCTTTTGGAAACTCGAGACAAATTACCTGGACAATGAATGAAAGACCAGTTGTATCTGCTGTCCTCCAGGCACATGCTGGAATTGAGAAGGGGCTGCGGGTAGGAATTTCCCGCAGGGGCCTGAGAAGGCATCTTCATTGGTCCTTTAGAGGAGCCCTCTATGCATTTCCCTTTGCCGGTATTGCTGGGATCGGTACACCAGCCGCAGCCAGGCTGCTCCAAGCAATGGCTGCAGGTACAGTAGCCTGAACAATTCTCAGCTGTGAAAGAACACAAGTTACAATTCACTAGCACCTGTTGCTTTGAATTAACTGTATTTAAATTACCCTTTTTAAAAAAAATTACCTTTCTTAAAAGCCACCTATTCAACGTCTGTCAGTCAAAATTCCTATTCTAAGGTGATTGTTTAAATGACACAATAAACTTAAAGAACCCAGTCTCTTGCTCCACAGGGATTCCTCCCCTCCTCTCTCAACCCCGGGATGCTTGGGGAGAAAGGGACCTCAGTGGTCATCTGCCGGAGACCCCTTGTTCCATCAGTCAGGAGAGTGAGACACGGGGACGCTGCAGGGTCGAGCACTGGGACACCAAGGCTGGTCTGGACTCTGCGGCCTGACCTGCAGGGCGTGATTCTGCACGGACACCCCCCGGCCTCCGCCCTACCGTGTTCAGGGGCCGACAGCACAGCCGACGGCAGGAGCGGCACCCTTTTCACTTACGGGGGCAGCTGCTCATGGTGTACCACTCCATACACTGGCCAAAAGGGAAGGAGGCCACGTAGGCGTTGGAGTCCACGCACTGCTTCATGTTGCTGCACCACATGCACTCCGAGCTGCCACTGGTGCACTCCCCACACGCCGCTCGCAAGGCACACGGCGTCCGGCACTGCTTGGCACTGTGGTTCGCTGGGAAGCAAACCCAAGAGAGACACTTAGAGCTCCCACCACATTGGCTGAGATTAAAAAGGCTTTTCAGAGTGGGTTGTGGCCCACTAGTGTGTCATGACATCAATGCAGTAGGCACATTACATGTAGGGGAAAAGAGAAAACACAGACTCACCATGTACTGGTTAGTCAAGTACATTCATACACTTGGGGGAGAAAACTCTTTTCAAAGAGCCTTAAGGACAGACATGAGGGAACAAGCTAATCTTTCCATAAGAGCCGTGGTTCTAAAGCTCCTTACGATATATGGGACCCAGGATGAACTTCAGGGGTTTTACAACCCACCTCACCATGAAAACTTGTATCTTTGTGTATCTGGGGGGAAGAAGGAGCACAGCATTCATTAAATGCACCAAAGCATTCAGGATCCCAAATGGCTCCCCTACAGGAAGTTTAGAAACCATATTTTAAGGGGATTCTTATAGCGCTAGGCATTCTCTTCTACACCTCTATACTCTTCAGACAACTTACAGGACCTTCCTAAAATAAGACACTATGTCAATGGAGTCCAGCCTCCTCCCCAAAGAGTGCCCACAAAACTCCACCTGCTGCGTGCATCCCTCTGCAGGAAGAAGACACTTCCTCGGCCTGTCTGTGTGCTGCAGAGGCTGCCCTGGGGCCTGCCTGTGGGGAGCCTGAAGATAGCCCAGAGGAGAGATCCGCAGCGGAGAAGCTACTCAGGGTGTGCTCCTCGGTACTCTCCCACAGCTCAGTGTGGTTCAGGTTTGCTTCTGCTGTCATGTAACCGCCTTCCTCATTTTCCTCCCCACTGACACTTTCTGTCTACTGTCAGTAGTGAGTGACCTGCTTGCTTTTCTGATCTTTTCTTTGCATTTTTTGTTCTTTCTTTCACAGTATTTCTCTGCCAACACCAAGACATTTGCCTTTCAGAGCAATTCTCAATACTTTTTGTGGTCAGCACACCAATCTATCTCACTGTAAATTAGGATATTAGATTCTTTTGAACAGAATTATTTTTGTTTACGATTATGGCATATACTATGCAGAGCCAAAGACTATTTCCTTCTGCTTTTAAATTCTGGGCTGTCCTCTGCTTCAAATGTTTGAAACCAATACTCCATCTGTTTCTCATGACTATCTCACACATCTCAATATTTAACTATGTTTCCTACAATTTCTCTTTCAGTGAGCTTCCAATGACACATCATTCATCCACATACTTACCAGGCCTTTCACAGACACTACCATTGAGTGGGTTGATGCAGGTTGCAGCCTTCAAGCCCCGAGTACTGGGTTCTGACAAGATTCCACAGAACCCAGCATCACTGGGCTCAGATGGCATCCACTGTAGCAAACTATTTGTGAATGGGGACATATCTTCCCAGCACCAGTAGGACACATTGATCTTCCGAAGGCCAACCCATGGGGTTAAGGTGAGCTTGGACTGCAGGCAAAAGAGACACAGCTACGTATAAGCAATGTCTTGAACAAACCAGGCTTCTGGATAAAAACTGCTAAGTTATGTCTACCTCCAGATAAAAGAAAACCCCCCTGTCCTGACTGAACCATGGCAGATTAGGACAGACTATCAATTTTAATGTTATATATCATTCCTGGGACTTCAATATGGCCATTTTACAAGAGACAGAAATATAAATCAGAGAAGACACAAACATTTTCACAGAGATTAACAGCAAAGAGGTAGTAAGTCCCAAAAGTACTATACCTAATGGCAAATGACAGCCCTCCCTCAACCTTGGTTTAAATGATTACTTATGTTGGGGCGCCTGGGTGGCTCAGTTGGTTAAGTGTCTGACTTCAGCTCAGGTCACGATCTCATGGCTCGTGGGTTCGAGCCCCGCGTCACGCTCTGTGCTGTGACAGCTAGCTCAGAGCCTGGAGCCTGCTTCAGATTCTGTGTCTCCCTCTCTCTCTGACCCTCCCCTGCTGTCTCTATCTCTCTCTCAAAAATAAATAAAACATTAAAAATAAATAAATAAATGATTACTTATGCATAAGAGTATCTTGCCAATATTTATGAAATACTGGTTATAAGCTTGTCTTTGGATCATTAACTAAGCTTGTGTTGGGGCTTTGGCCAGTTCAGATGACTGAAGATTTGTACTTTCAAGCTGGGGGGAGTACTGCCTGGCACTGAATTTTCTAGGGAATAAGAGGACAGTGAACCTCTGAGAGTCTCTGTCTTCTGCTTGACTAAAATTTCCTTCTTGTTATGATTTTAAAAAAAATGTTAAATCAAAGTATATGCTTTAGCCCAGAAATGAAAGATACTGGTAGTTACAAACAGAATGTATAATGTACTTCCATTTTTTGAGAGGAAAAAATATACGTGCCTCTTAAAGATGTAAAAGAAATAAATAATCCCAGAAGTTATTTTTAGTTGTAATAAATGATATTTTGATTTTAATGCTAGTATCTTTTAAAAAAAATTTTTTTAATGTTTTTTATTTATTTCTGAGAGCGACAGAGAGAGAGAGAGAGACAGAGACAGAGAGAGAGACAGAGAAAGACAGAGACAGAGAGAGAGCACGAGCAGGGGAGGGTGAGAGAGAGAGGGAGACACAGAATTTGAAACAGGCTCCAGGCTCTGAGTTATCAGCACAGAGCCCGACGCGGGGCTCGAACCCACGAACCATGAGATCATGACCTGAGCCAAAGTCAGACGCTTAGCCGACTGAGCCACCCAGGCACCCCAATGCTAGTATCTTCTAAATTTCCTTTGAAATATGCATTTTTTTAAAGGAAAGAAAGATAATTAAGATTAATACCTTTAAAAAGTCCTTCAATTTCTTCCCCCTTGGCTTTCATGATAGAATTCACAGCAATTAGCATTACACACAAGGCCTCTTTGGATTTGATCCCTCATGAGGCCCGGCCACAGGATCTCCTTTCCTCCAACCTGCAGCCAGCCATGCAAGCGTACCTGCAGCTCACCCCTCAATCTCTGCATCTTGCATGTGGGGGGACAACGCAGAGATGGTGCTTGCTCTCTACCTTCCCAACTCTCTCTCTCATCTTCAGGGATTACCTCTCTATCAGCCAGCCTCTGCCCTACAGGCGAGGCCAAGCACACGCTCTTATTCTTCCATGCAAGCCTGGGCTCTAGGTTTAGACTCACACCTATGGAAGCACATTTCACTACAGTTTTCTTTCATTTGTCAGTCTCACCACAAGACCGTGAATTCCTGTTGCACAAATGTGCTCCCAGCAGACCTGGGAGCTATGCAGAACTTTCTGGAGCCAGAAAACTGAAGAGGGAAAAGGCACCAAAAGATGTATCTGTGGCCAGCTGGGAGAGCAGGACCCTTGTAAACAAACAGGTGTTCTTTCACAGACACTGTTCTGGGGGTCACTGGTCATGTGGAAAGCTGTATGCCATCAATTTTCTGAGGGAGTGACTACAGGTGAGACCAGCCAACAGCCAAGGACAGAACACAGGAAGAGGCCCATTTCTGGGGGTGAGAAAAAGAGAAACACATCTCTGATGGGAGATTATGAAATGTGAAAAAGCTTTCAAAATATCAGAAAACATAAAATGTGGCCATAGTGTTCCCTGAGATAACCACATTTATAATGTACTGATGATGTTTGAAGTGTCCATGCCGTACCAAAGCTGCACTAGAAAAAAGACCAATTGGAGAAAAGAAAAATACTCTAGGGCACCTCTCACCAGTCACAGAGCAGGTGGTATATGGAGGTCAATGCGGCCAGGACCCTGACCACACTTTCCACGCTTTTTCCTGAAGGAGGGTGCACCCAACGAAGTGCTGCTCCTTCCTCCTCCCTGTTCGACAAGAACATTTCCCCTAAAGTGCTCTGTACCAAAGCCAACACTATTGAAAAGCTTTGTCTTGGGGAGCCTGGGTGGCTTAGTTGGTTAAGCATCCGACTTTCGCTTGGGTCATGATCTCACGGTTCGTGGGTTCAAGCCCCGCGTCGGGCTGTGTGCTGACTGCCAGCTCAGAGCCTGGAGCCTATTTCAGAGTCTGTATCTCCCTCTCTCTCTCTGGCCCTCCCCTGCTCATGCTGTCTCTCTCTTTCTCTCCTAGAAATAAATAAAAAATATAAAAAAAAAAAAAAGAAAGAAAAGCTTTGTCTTGCAAGTATCTACTTAACTGAGGGTGAGACCATAGTTCTAGGGCCGTGGACAAAAAAAAAAAAAAAAAAAAAAGAGAGCGAGAGAGAGAAAGAAAGAAAGAAAAGAAAAAAAAGAGGCAAAATGGGGTTGTAGAATATCAACTACAAGGCCACTCGAGGGCATGGGAGGACAGGAAGAGAACTTGGGGCCTTTCTTTGCTCAGAAACTTTTGATAACAAGGTGCCCTCTCCTTTGGAGCTAGTCAGACTTAAGAAAAGACCCAATGGACATACAGTTCTTAGAGCGATGACCACTATTACACACTGTAACAAGACCTGAAAGCTGACAGATTCCAGTGGCTTCTTTCAACCTAGCTAATCAGTAGTGACATACCCTTTCCCTCTCCCCCAGCAGAACCCAGGGATAAAAGAAATATGAAAGCATCAGCTGATGTCACAAGGATATGTGACGCATGGTACTATTCAATACACATGTAATTGTCCATTTATCTTATAATCTAATAGATATGACTTATAAAGTGTTAACAATTTTAAGGTAAGAAAGAAAGCGTTGGAGGAAGAGAATCTGACAGTGCCATTCCACAGTCTATTATTATACTCACACACTAGCACTCTGCGTGCCAGGCACACCACAGGGAAGCTGTATTCGTGCTCTTAGTGGAAGGGTGGGGAGCAGAAACGTTAAGTTCTGAGGATGTTAACTCACCATGCTCTGTGATGACTGCATTATTCGCAGCTGCTTAAGGACAAATTCTACCTTCTTCTGGGTTGTAAGAGAAGCCAAAAAGGCATTGTGGTTCCTACAGGACAATTTAGCGTTGTCGTAATTCTCCTTGGCAGTGGTAATTTTCAAACACGAGTTTCCGACCAAATGCCAGCCAATGCCACAGATATTTTCTTTTGTAAAGAGGGGGAAAAAGAAAGAAAGAGTTTTGGAAATCACACAATACTACTACATTACCAGTTTGAATTACCAGAAACCTAGAAGGGTTTTGCAATTTGAATCCCACATTACTTTACTAGTGAGGTGAAGGGCATTCACACATCACTAAGGACCAGTACAGAACAGAAGAATGTTAGACTTCCCCAGGTCCAGTTCCTGGACCTCAAAGGGCACATGATAAGGTCAACTCTCCTATCTTGGAAGAAAAAATATTAGGTGCCAGTGCTCAATTTCTAAACCCCCTTTTGAAGGATGATTAGAAACAAGACTAAGTCTTAAGTAAAGAGCAGAAAAATGAGCATGCATAAAGGAAGGATGGGGAATAAAACTGGAGTATGGAAAGCAGTTGGTGAATGAATAAGACTACAGTCTTCAAAAGCCGCACTGTTTTCGCATCAAGTGGAAGGGGCACAAATCAAGGGCATGATACGTCCCCAAAGTGAGGTAGAAAGATCCTTTTCAGGAAAAAACAAAAACAAAACCCCTAAAGTGATACAGTATAGCTGCAGCACATGAGGCAAGATGGGCATCTGCTTTTGCAGTTGCCCTAAATCCACCCAGTTCAGGTCTGTGCCCTGCCCCACACAGAAACTCTGATGCTTTCTAGAAGACAGGGCATGAGCAAGGCAACTCTGACAGAAGGAAGTACCCTGGAGACACCACCAGCAATGCCTGTTACCAGTCAGTGAGGTAAGTGGAAGGTGCCATGGGAAAGGGATCACTGAAGTTCAGATAAACACTTGCTCTTCCAAGTATGGCATCAGTATCACTGCTCATTAAAATGTAAATTCTAGAGTCCCACCTCCGATGTGTACCAGAATCTGACTTCTGACAAAATCCTCAAGCACAAAAGCTCACATTCATACAAGAGAAATCAAGGACTTCCAAAGGACATTCCAAAGGGGCCTGGCAGACCCTGTTGCCCTGTGCATGCTTCAGCTGCTGCACAGTACCATAGATGCCCCCCTTCTGGAAAATCCTAGTGGAGCAAGTGTATCACAGAATTTCTTTTGTGGCTGGCCAGCCTGAGGCCCTCATCTTCATTCTGAACCTCAAAGGCCATAAATTGAGACACTCAGGACTGGAGATCACCGAGGAGGTGCTGCTGATAAAAGCATCTCTCCTCATTGTCAGAAGGTGCTGACGATCTAATCCCAGTGTTCAGGAAGAACTATTCATGAAGTGCCCCTCACATTGACTGCCAAGATTGCTGCATTCTATTGCCAGGTGACCACAACGGAGGTGAGCAGAGACACTGGAGCAGACTCGATGGTACAGAGACTGTCACTCCATTCCCCAGAGCAGCAGATGATGCTTCACTTTATTTCAAAGCACAGTACAAGGAAATGTTTAAGAACTGTGTTTTCATTAAGAAAAAAGAAAAACAAAAAAACCCCACACAATCATGGTATGGCAGATGAATGGATAAAATGAGTTTGTTCCCTCTGCCGGGCTCAATCTAGGCTGCACAGTACTGGGGGAGTATGTGTGACGTCTCCAGACCCACACGCATCAAGATGCCCCCACAAGGCCTACCAGGCAGGGCGATGCACTCCTGATTCCGGGGCTCCCACTGGCAGTTCTGGTCCAGGGCACAGCTCCTGCAGCTGGTCTTCTTGTTACAGTAGTACATGGGGTTATCCTTGGGGCAATTCTCGTATCTGGAAATGGAGATCTAGAACACAGTGGACAAAACCTTTTCTCTTAATCAAAGGACAGAACTCACGGTGAGGACAAAGAGGATATTAAAATCAATAAAATCTAACTGAGGAAGCAAACTGCAAATAAACGTAAATAAGGTGCAGAAGAAGCGGGCCTGCAATGGAAACAGTGTGCTGAAATCTGTACAAGGACATGCCTTGACCCGGCAAGGAGGCAATGCAATGTGCTCTATTTTAAACACCACTCTTCTACCTGCTCATCTGTGAAATGGGGGTGTTCAACCTACTGCTTTTCAAAAGCCTCCCAAACAATCTAAAGCTTTTATATCTTATGAACTGCTCTACAGAATAAACTGTCAAAAACTATAGAAGCTGAGTCATTCTATCTTTTTTTGCCCTGGAACCTAAGAAAAGGAGATTTGGCAAAGTCGCCTGATTCACCTTCAGTCTCAAGTCCTAAAACTTGCTCCCAAAGCTTGCACAGGTAGAGTGAGCTCACTGCTACAAGCCTCACACTGAACATGCTATGATCATGCCTCTAGGGAGTAGGGAGTACACAGAAGAAGGGTCCTGCTGTCTTCTAAAACACTACATATCAATCCTTGTGGCTAGCAGGACCTTTAAAATTATGATGCACAAAGCAACCCTTCCTAAAAGAAAACCTGAGCAATAATAAAATGCAAATCCACACCAAAGGTTTTAAAAATAAGTCTGAGCCAGAATTTGTACTATACACACTACGGTCTTACACCTGACCCGTCTTGGGACTCTTTCATCCTTTGAAATCCTTGAGAAACGGCCCCTGACCTGGCCTTCCGTGCAGCTGTGGTTCACAGGGACACAATGGTCATTGCACCAGTGACAGTCGTTGGTGTTGGCTGTGCAGCTGTAACAATCGGTGTGCTGGTCACATCTATCATGGTCAAGAGCTACGAAAAGAAGAAAAAGTCATCAACCATGACAGCTCCTCCTCAGAAAAGTTGCAGGCCATTACAGCTGGGGCCGAGCACAATCTGAGGCTAAGGCTTTCAAAAAACGCTAACAAGGGTTGGGGAGTAAAATAAGAAGTAAAACTGGCAGGAAAATATATTGCTGTGCTCAGGTTAAAACAATATTTAGAAACAAGTAAAAAATTTGAAGAAACACCCTTTTATAAGCCCCCCATCCCCAACGAAAGTACACAGAGAGGGAAAAACAAAGATATATTAATTTCATTCAATGATAATGAGATATAATGGAAGTAAGTCGGGCTCTTTGAATACTTTTTTCCTCCAAGAAAAAAAGCAACGAGAAATAGAATGAACACCAATAGCTGTCAAGGACCCAGTGTTGCAGACCAACCCACTCCTCCTAGCTGCAAATGCAAGGCTAATCTGGGCACAGGAAGAAGGCAGCACCAGAGAAGCCCAAAGGAGGCACCAGGCTGAGCTATACTCTGTACGCATGTGTGCAAATCTCAGAGTGTTAATTAAGTCTGAGAGCTTCTGGGCTACTACAGACCCGTTGCATCTCCTATGGACCCCAGATAGGCCAAGGTGAGCAACAAAAGACAGCCCATACTACCATGCTGCTTCATCTGTTAATCAACTTGTGAACATGGCACGTGATGGCACCCATGGACAAAACAAGGCAGGGCCCACCCCCACAAAGCATGCTCCTTAGGTTGCTGATGTCCTTCCCTGGTCATCACCCCAAGGACCAGGCCCACATAGAAAGAAGAGTGACCAGGGATGTGACATCTGAGATAAGTTCACAGCAAAGGGATTCATACTAAACCCTCTAAGGTAATTAAATATTATTTTTCTATAACCATGTATATTTAATTTGAACTTTTAAAATTTGGTTTAAAAAAACCCCAATTTCACAGATTTTATCCCTTTGAACCCTACTAGATTCTGGCCCTCTCTGTTCTCCTGCACTCACTGGGAAGTTGCCTGGGTGCCCTTTTTGAGGATTTACACTCATCTGAATTTGGAGCATTCCAGGACAGTAAAAGTTGATTCTATCTACCCTAACTCTCATGGTAACATGCTACACCAACTCTAACAGTTAAGAAATTCAGTCAACATACTTTAAATTAATTGAAGTGAACAAATACTCTGCAGAGACATTTTTCGTACTTTTAAAGGTAAGATATTACTTCACTGTATTACACTGCGCTGTAAGCCAGAGCAAAACCATAAGAAGCTAAGTAGAGAAGAAGAAGAAAGCTTGGAAAACATAGGGGTGGTTCTAGAAGCCAGGACACTGGTCATCCTTAGCAATTCTCTCCCCTGCTATCACTGCTGTGCCAACTAGAGTGAAGCTACAAAGAGTATTCGGCAAAGAGAGCAACTCTACCTCTACCCACTAGAACAATCTACTCCAACAAAGCTTTTCAGGGTTGGCCCTCTTAATCTTGTCCTTAACATCAACACTGCATAGTCCAATATGGAAGCCACTAGCCTCATGTAGTTTTTAATTTAAGTTAATTAAAGTTTAAAATTCAGTTCTTTGGTCTCATTTCAAGTGTCTCATAGCCACATGTGGCAGGTAGCTCCCATACTGGGACAATGCATATGTAACACACTTGTATCATCACAAAAAGGTCCTACTGGATTGCACTGCCTAAGGCCAACTGCCAGGTTCAGGAGCTGGTATACAAAAATCTATGCAATGCTAAGGAGGTTTTGAATCCATCATTCACAGCTTCTAGGAGCCATATGGCATGTTCCCATCTATCATAAAAATGTTTAGAAACCAATCTTCAACCAAACCACCCATAAACCTTTGCACCAGTTATTACCAAATAATTTCGGATAATGAATATAAAAATGCTAAGTGCTTCCACAATTCAGATAAAATGAGATTTCAAATTAATTAAATTTTAAGAAAAGGATAAAAACATACTTCTTTTGGAAAAACATTCTGATTTTAGCTTTTCTTCTTGCACTTCAGTTGCCAACTCCCAGGAGATACACTGAGATGACCCTGCGTCCCACACACACCGGATGCCGGGTCCTGCCGCTACACAAGCAGCTTCACTCCGGTGTGCTTCACATCGTTCCGAGGTGAATACCAGGATGTCACTGAGGAGGAGACTATTGAAACCACCAAATACGTACATGGTGCTGTAGGGAGGGAAAAAAAAGGAGAGGAGTAGTTTACTGAACGTTTCTGTAAATAAATGCATGAGATGCTTTTCACAGTCTTTAGACAAATGCCCAACAGTTCGGGATGTGATGTGAATAAACTATGGTATATCCACACAGTGAAAGAGCAGTCGGTAGATGTAAAAAGGAATGAGAACGATTTCTACATACTGCTATGGAGGGATCTTCAGGATATATTGCTTTGTGAAAAAAAAGAAAATGCAGAGTAAAGTACATATTATACGTTACCATTTATCTAGTGAGAGGAGGTGAAAAAGGAAATCACACACACATATATTCATTTTTCATTTTAAAAACAACAAAGCTTTTCTTTAAACATTTTTTAATGTTTATTTTTGAGAGAGAGAAAAAGGGGGGGGGCGCAAGTGGGAGAAGGGCTGAGAGAGAGGGAGACAGGGTCTGAAGCAGGCTCTGAGCTGACAGCAGACAGCCCGATGTGGGGCTTGAACTCATGAACCACGAAACCATGACCTGAGCTGAAGTAGGACACTTAATCCACTGAGCCAGCCAGGCAGTCCAACAAAGCTCTTCAATTTATCATCTTAAAAGAGTTAGACCAACTGGTAGCAATGAATAGGACTAGTATTTAGACTGTGCTATCTAAAAACCATTCTCTCCCCTACCACTCAAAAAACAAAACCCCCCCCCCCAAAACCCTAGGACTCTTTAAAGGCAATCCCTAGTAAGTCAAGTTTAAAAATAAAAACAAGGGGGAAAAAAACCTAGGCAGAAAAATCAGCAGTGGTACACTGGGGAGACAGACTCTACAGAATGAGCCTAGGCAAGACACTAAACAAACAGCAACAACCCACAATGCTGGAGGTGAGGGAATTAGAACCCAGAATCCATATCTGATATTTCCCAAAATGTTTCATTTTCTTTTTCTTTTCTTTTCCCCATAGACATTCCATTTTATTTGTGCAGTAAAATAAATCTATGTTAACTGATACAATTTCACCATGAACATATAAGATTTTTCACCTTGTCAAAAGGCTTATGTATTTTTTTTCCTATTTTTTTTAAATATAATTTATTGTCGAATTGGCTTACATACAACACCCAGTGCTCACCCGAAGAAGTGCCCCCTCTTCAATGCCCATCACCCCCTTTCCCCTCTCCCCCACCGTCCATTAACCCTTAGTTTGTTCTCCTATTTAAGAGTGTCTTATGGTTTCCCTCCCTCCCAAATGTTTCATTTTCAACAAAATGTTACAATATATGCAAAGAAACAGGAGTGTGAACCAAACAGAGAAAGCAAAGCAGTCAATCAAAACTTTCTGGGACAGCCCACATGTTGGACTCAAGAGACAAAGGCTTCAAACCAGCTATTATAAATATATTCAAAGAAAACTATGTCTGAGAATTAAGTCAAAATAGGATATCAATGACTCAGTAAGTAAAGAATATCCATAAAGAGATACAAATTATAAGGAACAATTAAAAGGAAGTTCTGGAGTTGAAAAGTTTACAGTAAGTGAAATGAAAAACTCATTAGAAGGACTCAGGTGACTTGACTTGGAAGAGGAAAGAAACAGTAAATTTAAAGATATATCAATAGTACCATAATGGACTCTTAAATACAGAGAACAAAGTGAGGGTTGTTGTTGGAAGATTGGGTGGGGGGGGTGGGCTAAGTGGGGGATGGGCATTAAGGAGGGCACTTGTTGGGATGAGCACTGGGAATTGATGAACCACTAAATTCAATTCCTGAAATCATTATTACACTATATGTTAACTAACTTGGATTTAAATACAATTTTAAAAATTAAAAAAAGATACATCAATAGTGATTATTTAATCTGAGGAAAAAAACTTTTTTAAATCAAAGAAAATGAAAAGAGCTTCAGAGACTTGTGGCATACTATCAAGCATCCAACATAAGCACAATGGGAGTCCCAGAAAGAAAAAAGTGAGAGAGAAGAGAAAACACATTTAAAGAAATAATGGTTGAAAACTCCCCAGATTTGATGAAAATGATTAATCTATACATCCATAAAGTTCAACAAACTCCAAGTAGGATAATCATAAAAAGATCCACTCTTACACACATTATAATCAAAAGCTGCTGAGGGAAGGTGGTTGGAGGATGGGCTAAATGGGTGATGGGTATTAAGGAGGATGCTTGTTGTGTTGAGCACTGGATGTTATATATGTAAGTGACGAATCGCTAAATTCTACTCCTGAAACTTAATTAATTAATTAATTGCTGAAAAGCCTAGAACAAAGAGAAACTCTTGAAAGCAATAGAGGTAGGATAACTCATCACATACAAGAGAATCACATTAAGATTAGTGGCTAAGACATGTGTAGCAACATGGATGGACCTTGAGGATGTTATGCTGAGTGAAATAAGTCAGGCAGAGAAGGACAAATATCATATGTTTGCACGTATAGGAGGATTAGTAGGAACTTTACTGAGGATCATGGGGGAGAAGAAGGTTGGAAATGGTGGGTGAAAGGGAGAGAGGCAAACCATGAGAGACTCTTGAATGCTGACAAAAACAGGACTGATGGATGTGGGGGGAGGGGGGATGGGCATGGAGGAGGGCACTCGTGGGGATGAGCACTGGGTGTTATGTGGAAACTAATTCGACAATAAACTATTTGTAAAAAAAAAAAGGAAAAGCAGAAAAAAAAAAAAAGAAAAGATTAATGGCTAAGACACAATGGAAGCCAGAAGGCAGAGGACTGAGATACTGAAAGTACGGAAAATAAAAGATGTCAAATAATATTTCTCTATCCAACAAAACTATCCTTCAACAATGAAACCGAAATAAAGACATCCCCAGATAAACAAAGACTAAGAAAATTATTTGCTGGCAGGCCTCCCTTGCTGAGAAAGAGTAAAGTAACAGTAATAGTTGAAGCCTTTAATATCTCACTCTTAGTAATGAGAGAACAACTAGACATAAAATCAACAAGGATACACAAGACTTGAACAACATTATCAACCGATTTGACCTAGCTAACAACTAAGGAACACTCCACCCAAAGAGAGCAGCACATACATTCTTTTCAAGGGCAAATGGAACATTCTCCAGAATAGACAATATGTTAGAGCATAAAAAAACTCGGTAAATATTTGCAGATTTTCCCCACTCCCTTCAATAAGTGTTTTTTTTTTTAAAGAAATCTTCAAAGTATGTTCTCTAATCCCCAAAATGGAATTGAATTAGAAATCAAGAGGCAGAAAGTCTGTGAACTCCACAAATATTTGAAAAATAAACAACATATTCTGAATAATCTATGGGTCAAAGAAGTCACAAGGGAAATTAGAGAACATTTTTAACTAAATAAAAACAAAAATATGCCATTTCAAAAATTTATGGGATGGGATTAATGTAGTACTTAGAGACAAACTTATAACTTTAAACACATACATTAGGGGTAAAAAAAAAAAGATCTAAAGTCAATAACCTAAGCTTCCACCTTAAGAAACTAGAGAAAGAAAAGCAAACAAAACCCAAAGTAATCAGAAGGGAGAAAATGATATAGAGAAAAACAATAAAATATATTTTTAAAAAAAACAGAAAAATGAGTGAAATCAGAAGTTTGTTTTTTGAAAAGATCAAAAAAATTGACAACCCTTTGACTAGAATGACCAAGAACATAGAAGATAAATTAAGAAAATTAGGAATGAAGAAGGGACATCAATGTTGACCTTATAGGCATTAAAAAACATATAAAGAAATATTATGAACTTTTATGCCAAGAAGTTAGACAACTTAAATGCAACAAATTCCTAGCAAGACTTCCTACTGAAACTAACTCATTCCTCAAAAAGTAAAAAGTATAGCTATAATATGATTCAGCAATTCCACTTCTGGGTATACACCCCAAAGAACTGAAAGCTAGGACTCAAATACTTATTTGTACATCCATGTTTATAGCAGCATTATGTGCAACAGGCAAAAGTTGGAAGCAAACCAAGTATCTACTGATACACAGAATGTGGTATGTATACACAAGGGAATATTATTCAGCCTTAAAAAGGAAAGAAATTCTGACACATGTACAGTATGGATGAATGAACCCTGATGATATTCTGCTAAGTGAAATAAGCTGGCCAAAACCAAACAAACACTGTATGATTCCAACTAAAGGTACCCAAAGGAGTTAAATTCGTAGAGACAGAAACTAGAATGCTGGCTGCCAAAGGCAGGGGCAGAACAGAATGAGGAGTTACTGTTTCATGGGGAGAGTTTAAATTTTGCATGATGAAAAAGTTCAGGATGGCAGTGATGGTTACACACAGTGCAAACATACTTAACGCCACTAAACCATACACTTAAAAACGGTTAAGATGGTATATCTTATGTTATGAAAATTTTATCACAATTAAAAAAAAACTAAAGAAACTACTTAACAAGAAATAGAAAATCTGAACAAATAAACCTACCACAAGTAAAAAAACTGAATTACCAATTTAAAAATCTTCCCACAAAGAAAAGCCCAGTCCCAGATGAATTCTACTAAGTCCCTAATGAATTCTATCAAATATTGAACATGTAAAGTAGTAATACCAATCCTTTATGAACTCTTCCAGAAAACAGAGGGGGAAAGAATACCTCTCAATTTATTCTGTCCAGTACTAATTAGACAAATATGTCATAAAAATCACAAAACTATGGAGCAATATCCCTCATGAATAAAGACAGGGGACGTTTTTGAACAAGGACATTTTGTGGGTGATGGATATGTTACCTTGACTGTGGTGATGATTTTACAAGTGTATACTTCTGTCAAAATTTATCAAATTATACACTTTTAGTATATTCAATTTGTTGTATGTATCAACTCCACTTCAATAAAGCCATAGATGCAGAATCACACCTATGCAAAATAAAAGCAATTGTGTAACAGCTCCAGGGAAAGTTCTTAAATGCTACCATGGAAGGCCCATGCCAGCAAATGATGCAGTCTGTATCACAAAGAATACTGGGCTATATCTGCCACACACATTGTATCTCTCTTGTGTGATATTTGCTGGTACATCCTCAATCCTGCCATCCACTGTGCCAGATTAGAACCTGAAGAAAGAGTTAGGCTGGGGACTGTATAGACAGGAGGCACAACACCATCCTTAAATATAATAATCTCTTACAAAAATCTGAAGAACAGAAACAAGATCAATGGGCAAAAGACAGAAGATAGAGAGAAGCGGATTCCAGATAATATAAAGGAGAACCCGCAAGTAACTGGTGTCTGCAGAAAAGGAAGGAACTTCCTTTTTAGGTGAGTTTTCCACCCCTGGACATGTTCAAAGGGATGCCTGCATTAAGTGGAAGTTTCGAGCAGAAGACTTCCAGATCTCTTCAAACTCCAAGACGCTATGATGTGCCAGCAAGTTTAGAACTAACCCACCTGACGTGTCAGGTAATTCACTCTCACTTACCTCAATTTCCTTCAAATTAACACAAGGTTAACTTACTAAAACATAAAGATTTTGTGGCTCTCTTAAGTATTTGCCATATATTATATTTAAAAATTGACACATTTCAATTACCAAAAATGAGACTCACATTTAATTTTTCATCTCATTATTGGTTTAGTATCACATTAAGCAGTCTGGATTCAACTAGTCAATCTGCTGCTTCAACCAAATAAGCTCCATTCCCCTCCCAGTACAGCTGGTGTTTTCAGCAATTCTAAATCCATCTGGTCACACGTCGGCCATGGGAGGTACGCAGAGCCCTTCAAAAAGGCCTGGAGCCAGCAAGTGAAAGGTGCAGCAGCATCTACGCAGCCTCGGTGCCTCAGAGCCAGCTCTTCTTCCCACCTCCTTCACAAAGCCCACGAAAACAACTAAGTGAGCCACGGCTGCCCCAATGCTGCATATCGACTAAGAAAACCAGCACTTGGAATATGGGATACAAAGAAATGAAGTGAATCCAAGTTTCTATCTCAGTAAATTCATTCACAAGATTAAACTAGCCGTGGCCTCTCTCGTCATCTGCTGCCCTCTGCCAACCCTGCCCCCCACGCACAGATTATTCACATATAGGTCCAAACATACCACTGGAATGACACAAAAATGAAAACATTATCATAGCCCAGCAAGCCATTCTGAGTTTTGATTCGTGGTTAAATTCTATCATATGGCAAACTGTCAACCTCTCTGAGTTTGTATAAAACCAAAGACTGTTTTAATAGAAGATCCATTTATCTGCTAGTTACCATCACTGTAGTAACAGCCGCCACGATTTAGCAAATGCCCAGTATGTGCCAAATCCCGTGTCAGGAGAACCAGGGGCACAAAGATGAATAAAGCGGAGGCCAGGCACCTGTAGGCAAGGGGACGACAAAACGGCGCCTCCACTTTTCAGATGAAAGCATCAAGAGGCAGGCACTAGAAAACTTCAGCGTTTTCCTCACTGATAAAGTACAAGCTTACAATTTAAGATGACACTTCAAATAAGTAAGGTTGTCAACTTATACTACCAAATGTTCTCATAGGAAAACCATATTTACCACTGAATTTCAGCTAAGTTATTACTTTAAAAAGATGTCCTCTTTTCCCAATATCCAAGTATGTGAATTCTGTCGATTCTTCCCTCATGATGTCCCCCAAACATGTTGCAGGCTTGCTTTTCCTAATCCCAGGTCTTCATCTCATCTTGCAACATAACAATAGAAATTCTGAATGGTCAGGACATCCTAACATAATATTGGCGTTATAGCACTTATATAGTTCTAGGATTGACAAGGCTCAGAAGTTTAGAGGGTAAAATAATTAACACTCATAACAGCTGAAACAAAATGGGAAAAATTAAGAACGTGATTAGGCTGTTTGGCAAATCAAAAATCTTTAAAGCACAGAGTAACGAACAGGCAGAGTGGCCATTCTGGACAGCCCTTCTCCAGCGGCAGATGCATGAAGAGCTCTGTTAGTTTGGGCCAGGCATTTTTGAGCGATGCAATGAAATGGAGTACAGACTTCAGATTATTGAAAGACTACAGATTGATCTATATGAAGTTTCATAATCTTCCCATCTCTATTCCTCTACCTCATCCACCCTTGAAATCTGTCCTTACCACTCAGATACAACTGTGAGACCTGACAACCCAACATCGCAAACAACAGCAAACAGCAGAGGGCGGAAGACAGAAACTGCACATAACTTTTGCTGTCCCACGAGACAGCACCAAACACAGCATACTCCTGCATGCCAGTGAAACCACAACAACAAACCTGGCATCAGAAGGAATTCAAATCCACGTCAGATTTTTTTCTCTCTTTTTAAAAAAAATTTTTTTAATCTAACTTATTGTCAAGTTAGCTAACATACAGTATGTACAGTGTGCTCTTGGTTTTTGGGGGTAGATTCCCGTGGTTCATCGCTTACATACAACACCCAGTGCTCATCCGAAAAAGTGCTCTACTCAATATCCATCACTCATTTTCCCCTCTCCCCTGCCCCCCATTCAACTCTCAGTTTTCTTCTCAGTATTTAAGAGTCTCTTATGGTTTGCCTCCCTGTTTGAAACTATTTTTCCCCCTTTCCTTCCCCCATGGTCTTCTGTTAAATTTCTCAAGTTCCACATATGAGTGAAAACATATGATATCTGTCTTTCTCTGACTGACTTATTTCACTTAGTGTAGTATCTTCCAGTTCCATCCACGTTGTTGCAAATGACAAGACTTCATTCTTTCTCATTGCCAAATAGTATTCCTTTGTATATACATATCACATCTTCTTTATCCATTCATCAGTCAATGGACATTTGGGCTCTTCCCATAATTTGGCTATTGTTGAAAGTACTGCTATACATATTGGGGTCTATGTGCCCCTATGAATCAGCATTCCTGTATCCCTTGGATAAATTCCTAGTAGTGCTATTACTGGGTCATAGAGAGTACTTCTATTTTTAATTTTTTGAGGAACCTCCACACTGTTTTCCACAGTGGCTGCACCAGTTTGCATTCCCACCAACACTGCAAGAGTGTTCCTGTTTCTCCACATCCTCGCCAACATCTGTCATTTCCTGAGTTGTTCATTTTAGCCACTCTGACTGGTGTGAGGTGGTATCTCAATGTAGTTTTGATTTGTATTTCCCCATATCAATATTTTAAATATACATCAGGAAGTCCATATGTACAAAATTTTGTGAAAAAGTAATGGGCTGAGGGAATTCTGCAAATAACATATAAGTCCAACTCCACTACTTCATGTTTAACTTCACCTTCATTTTAAACACAAAAGAAAAGGAGCAAGTGCTTCTTCTTCTCCAGTTATTTACCTGTTGTGTAAGACTGCCGAATGGCCAAATCTGTTGACATCATGGTGAAGATCAGGTCTGGGAAGCACTGACCAGCGGTCACAAGCTAGGAGCAAGAAAAATGCATTTCAGAAGCAATCACTATTCATAATCAGTTTCGAACCGGCATCTTCTCTGGGAAGAAGACTGCAATAAGCACAACCTCATAAAATATCTCTCTCAGTTTTTCTTAATCACACCATTATTTCTGAGGTAAAATACAGCAGCAGCAAAACAACAGGGCATGAGAGGTAGGACAATATGACAACTCTAATTCACGAATGCATGCAACAGCCATGACACTCACATCACTCACTCTGCTGTCTACCACTTTACCCACTAGAATGTTTCTTAAACTTAATTCGACATTTTTCAAAACTTACATAAGCAAAATAGGTGGGTTCCATAATTATTTTCCACTCCATACTGATTTGCCGAAACTCAGTAGCTAAAACAGGAAAATACAGTGGAAAAGGAAAACTAAAAAAAAAAAAAATTTAAGTTCCAACTTTGGGGTGTCTGGGAGGCTCAGTTAGTTGAGCGTCTGACTTTGGCTCAGGTCATGGTCATGATTTCACAGTTCATGAGTTTGAGCCCCACGATGGGCTCGCTGCTGTCAGTGCAGAGCCTGCTTTAAGATCCTCTCTGTCCCCCGCTCTCTCTGTCCCTCCCCTGCTCACAGGCTTTCTCTATCAAATATAAATAAAACATTAAGAAAAAAACAGTTCGAACTTCATCTAATTTTTTTTTTAATGTTTTTTATTTATTTCTAGGAGAGAAAGAGATACAGCGTGAGCAGGAGAGGGTCAGAGAGAGAGGGAGTCACAGACTGAAACAGGCTCCAGGCTCCGAGCTGGCAGTCAGCACAGAGCCCGACGCGGGGCTCGAACCCACGAACCGCGAGATCATGACCCAAGCGAAAGTCGGACGCTTAACCGACTAAGCCACCCAGGCGCCCCTCATCTAATTTTTTTAAAAGTCCTTTTCTAGGTTCCCTAGACCTACCAATTTTTCTCTGTTCTGTCCCATGTCATTAACTTCTTTTCTGTACCTTGATCCAAACGGTGCTGCAGAACCCTACCAACCTCACCCACACCCCCTCGCAGAGACACTCAGACACGCACACTCTCTAAGCAACCGTTCTTCCACTTGATCCAGGCCTTTATTCAACCCTGACAACAGCTTTCACTTCCTTCTCCCCAGCCTAGACTCTGTGGTCTTCTTCTCACAGAGAACAGAGGCCACCAACTCTCATAGCTTCCTGTCCACCCACCTTGCTTCCCTCCCTAAAACCACAGGGTGGTGGGGACTCCTTCCTCTTGCCACCTGGCTTTTACCACAGCATTTAAATGTGCCGAAGGAGGCACTCAACTTACGTAAGCCTTCTCTTCCCTTCACAGAGAAGTGTGTTGTTGTTGTTTTTTCTTTTTTTTACTAAAACAGTTAACATTCATGGTGTATCTCTCACCTTACATCACTGCTATCTGGATTATTCCTCCTCCCTGTCTAGAGGCTAACAAAGGACATCTTTGTTGCTAAATCCAACAGGCTCTAGAGTCCTTGTTTTACTTAATTCCTCTGCAGCCATTGTTAACTGCTCCCTCACAGATCACCAATCTTGCCTCACTTTCCTCCTGCTTCTCTGACATGTTTTCACAGTCTCCACTCTCCTTCAGACTTCTTTATCCATCCATCCTCTGGCTGTCTGCTCATGCCTCATGACACATGTTCCCCAGAGGCTCGCCCCTGCCTAGGGCTTCCCACTGACCTCTATATGGCTTGGTCCCATAGTCATTTCCAGCTGAACATGCCCCTAAGCCCAATTACTCCCTTCCTCCCAACCCAGTCCCTCTCCTTTTACTTCTAGTCTTGGTAAAAAGCATCTTCTACCATGGCCACACCAGATACCCAGCAATAAGGTATAAGTGCTGTCTAACTTCACCCAGCTTATTTCCTCGGGACCCAGCCTGGATGGCCTCTCCTCAAGAAGGCTTCCCCTGACCATAACCCTAACTCAAGCGAGTACGCTTGAGTTAAGGAATGCCCGCAAATGCTCTCATGTATTCTTCTCAGAGCAAGTAACATCCTGAATTGCAACGATATTGTCTACTCAGTTCTATGCCTTCTCCACTATGAGGCTGAAAACTGTAATTTACTCATTTTACAATCTCCAAGCTTAGTGGCTGACACATACACGTCTGTTAAAAAAGAACATCCGAGGAGACAAGAGAACTTCTAGTATTTGTTTCACATGAACACATACTGCCCTCTTCTGGTCAAGTGTATTACCACAGCAAAATTTTTAAAAATTCCATGTCAAGAAGTATTATGGCAAGAATGTGTAAAGCCAGTTTTTAAGGAATGAGATAAAGCTATTGGTTAAACCAATTTAACACAATGCTGGTGGTCACAACTACATAACACTATCATATAAGTCATTCATTTGTAACACAGAGGCTAGTCACCCCAACCCATCCACAAAAATTAACATTCAACTAATTAATGGGAGTGACTTCACTTCATAGAACTCAAGAAAAATATTGAAAATTTAAATAAGAATATAAACAAGAACTTAATATAGAAGTAATACTTTTTAAAAGATGCGCAATATTTGTCACATGAATATAAAAAATACCATTTGGGGGGCACCTGCATGGCTCAGTTGGTTAAGCGTCCAACTTCAGGTCTGGTTATCATCTTGCAGTTTGTGAGTTCAAGCCCCATGTGGGGCTCACTTTTGATCCTCTGTCCCCCACCTCTCTCTCTGCCCTCCCTCCCACTCTCGCATGCTCGCTCTCTCAAAAATAAATAAATATTAAAAAAAAATTTTTTTAAGTGCCATTTGGGCCTCTTTCAAATGGCCTCACCATTTTAAACTAGAAATATTTTCAGTTTCTTTTAAAATGTTGTTGATAGGGCACCTGGATGGTTCAGTCGGTTGAGCGTCTGACTTCAGCTCAGGTCATGATCTCAAGGTTCATGGGTTAAAGCCCCATATCAGTCTCTGCATTGACAAGTGAAGCCTGGTTCAGGTTCTCTGTCTCCCTCTCTCTCTGCCCTTCCCTCATTAACACTCTCTCTCTCTCAAAAATAAACATACATACACACATAACTCCAAAAAATGTTGCTTATAGACAAAAAAATTCTTCAAAGCTAAAATGGGTTTGGGAAACTTACCAATGTCGTAAGCCATGAAATCTGAAGAGAAGCATTTGGCGCCATGGCTCATGGACGTGTCATTGTGTGTGTTTCCTCCAAACACCAGCATGGTTCCACTCACTATCACAGCTGTGTGCAAGTAACGGAAAAATCGGCTGTCCTTAAGAATGGTCCTTTTGAGTTTATTTAAAAATAATAAATACAAGGTTAGTTTTTTAGGATATTTATTGTCTATTTGCTAATGCAAACAAAACCATTTTCTTAACTCTAGAACCAAATGTGCAAATGCTTCTAGATTTTCCCCTATATATAAGTAACTTTCTCAACAATAAGTAAATCTGTAAATCTTAAAGGCCTATGAAAATCTTCACCTTAAAATGATCATACCTTACGACCCTATAATTCCAGTTCACATAAAATACAAGACAAAAGCTTGTGTACAATGCCTTATTAATAAGCTAAAAACTAGAGACCAGAACTTCCAACCGTTCAGGCTCAGTACACCTGAGTTTTTACACAGCCACTAAAAATGGCAGACATTTTAATGACTGACATAATATAAAATGGTGTCCATAGCATGGTCTCAAAATATGTAAGGAAATACAGAAGGAATGAAGAGAAACCATTGCTTTATATAATCACATTACTTCATAATTCAAATCTGCTTTGTATTTATTAAAATTAGCATATATTACATAGTTCAATTTACAGGAGTGGGAGGAAAGCTCTAATTTAGGTTCTGAGACCACCTCTGTTGGATGATTCCATGCAATTGCAGTAACTAACCCCAATGATGACACTTCGGTCATCAAGAAAAGGTTAAGAAATGGATAGATTCTACGTAATTACAACAATGTGCATAAACTCAGCTTTGTAGAACAATTTATTCCTCAGGATTCTGAAGAGCTAAAATGTTAGAGTGGTACTGAGTGTCTGAAAATTGGAAAACCAGTCAAAAAATATTAAGCATTTTCTAATCAATCTACTACAAAATTACAGAATAATGCAACCAAAATAAATACTAGCTACACTCTCACTTTCTGCTTCTTTCCCAATTTTCCTGTCTACAATGCTGAAGAGAATTATCTGCTAGGCCCGAAACCAAAAATATAACATAATATTTTCCTGACAATTGCCAGAATTCACAGCCTAGAGTAAAAGCTCAAGAAAAAGCACCCACCACATCTGGGTGTCCACCTCATATCTGTAGAGATCATCTGCAAGCCGGTATTTATTGGCGCTGAAAGCCTTGTAGCCCCCATGAACGTACAAGGCCCTGGTCCTGTGGTCATAGACGCTGCTATGGCCATAGCCCCCTTGGACAAGGGCACCCTGGGTATGTAATATACTCCACGTGTTCTTAGCTGGAAGGGGAAAACAGTTAAAGGCAAACGTTGCAGGCTCCTCCTCTCCAATACTTTAAATGACCAATTAGTTTACAACACAAGAGATTTCAGGAGACTTGATACATATAAATTTCTTTTATATTTTAATTTTTAAAGGAAGACCATCTAAAACTTATAACAAAACCATGAGGACAAACATCAACATGTTAAATGATCCGATGTTCTAACACACCATGCAGGAAAATAATTACATTAAATTTAAAAGATTCAGATTCCTCTCAGTTGAACAATTCATATCCCGTGACCTACAGTGACCAATACGCAGATGTACTTTATGGGCCTACTTTCTCAAACTATCAATTAATGGGCAGTACTCCTGCATCCACAACAGCAGACATAATAAAATTTAACCAATGGAAAAATTACACATTACATTAAGGGAAATCACAGTCCGTTAACCCAATCTCTAAAGGGTGGTCTAAATTTTTTTTCATCAGAATACTTGTAGTTCCAAACCATTTTTATATATTTACTTTCTTTTCAACACCCAAAGCATTTAGTGCCATCTTTGGCTGCTCACCAAACTGAAAGTAACAAATATATACTACATCGCAGCAGCTACACTCTGAATTTCATTAGTAATATAGCAACATTCACTGTATTTTCAAGATAAAGTACTGGGTCAGTGTTAGGTGGAATCTTGTTAAACAGAATAAAAAGGGTAAAGGTTTTAGATTTGCCATCAAAAAAGAATCACTAGAAAAAGCACACCTACCCAAGTCATATTCTTGTACATTGCTTATATATCCATAGAGAGGACAATGACCAAAGATGACCAGCATGACCACTCGGCCAGTTTTCAATGTGACGATGTGTGCCGAGTGCCCGACCACTGCATACTGCTCCTTTGCTTTAGGGGTCAACAACACCCATGATTCGTTATGAATATGAAACACTCTCAACTCATTGGTCACATTCCCTGTCAAATCGATTTTCCCTCCGTACATGTAAATTTTATCCTAGGGGAAAAAAATGTAAACAAAATTCTAAAAAACATCAAAAGGATCAAATCTGAGAAGGAAAAGGATAAGTTCAAAACCTCAATATTATTTTTAGCTTAAAAAGGGCTAGTGCAATACACCTTACAGTGAATTATTAGGAAAAGACTGGAGAAAGGAACAAGATAAAATGAAACAAAATATATTCCATATCTCTAACACTTCACCACTGTACTTGGACTTCCTCATATGAGATCTCTTATGGTATAAAATAGGTTGGAAAAATAAAGCTGAAAAGTTCCCTTATCCTACCATAAACCACAAAAACAAGGAAATGAAAGTGATTATTCAGTTATATTGCAAGGTGGCTATTCTTGGCTAAACCTGCTAATGAAAATAAAAGCTAATTTATACAGTATTAATTTTTAACCATTTAGTACTATAATCATAATACCCCAGTATAATGTGAGTCCATTAAAATCTCTCAGGTTAAAGTGGTTTCAACTTTAATTTCCACTTACAACATAGCCAATTAATTATATAGCCCCCCCCCCCCCAAACTGAAAGTCCCCCTGTCCCCGGACTGGAAACCAACACTGAAGTCAAAACTATAGACAGAAAGTAGAATGGTAGTTGCCAGGGGCTGGGAGCAGGGCGGGGGCGGGGGGCAAGGGGAGGAGGGGATGGGAAGTTACTGTTTAATAGGCATAGAGTTGCAGTTTTACAAGATGAAAAGAGTTACAGAGATGGACGGTGGTGATAACTGCACATTAGGAATGTATTTCATACCACTGCACTGTACACTTAAAAATGGTTAAGATGGTAAATTTCACATTATTTGTACATGACCACAATAAAAAAGATTAGAGACAAAAACCCAACATTATATAGCTCTTCAACCACATAATACAATAAAGTAAGCGTGGAAGACTTGAGTTTCTAGCTTAGTACAGAGCAGAGACATTTTACCTTGTATAATGCTAAAGAATGGCCATATCTAACAACCACATTGTTCACAGACCGGTTCAGGGCAAGCCACTCCCTAGAAGCAAGGTCATACCTACAAAACAAACATCATATTTTCACCCAAATGACAAAACAGAGTATCTTTTTTATTTGTGATACTTTTTTATTTGTGATATAATGCAGTTTGAAGATACTAATTAAATGTACCATGCATACAAGAAGGCACCTCTGCAAACAAACAAACCTAACATCTGCAGGGGGAGGGAGGAAGGGTGACATATCAGAGCTTGGGAAGCGGGGCTGGGCTGAACAGCCCTGAGATAAGGGGGAAAAAATCTACTAGAAGTTTCTGATGCTTCCTGAAAACCTCCTCTACACGCAGTCTAAATCATTTGCAAGTTGTATTATACTCAAGGGACACTTAACTGCCATAACTTTTCTTTCATTTAATCGTGAAATTGAAGACAGGTACTGAAAAGGAATGGTAATTAAGTAAAAGAAAATTCTCGACTTTTCCTTTACTTTATCTAATTGATTTTTTTAAGTTATATTTTCAAAGAAGCTAGATTATCATTTAGCACTTCAATTATACTATGGATTCATTTAAAGACTTTTAAAATACAAAGTAAACATCATTCCAGACATTTTTGATGCATAAATACAGACAGAAAAATACACTGACAATATATAGTTATACAAAGGGGGTCATACTATAGTTGATACTTTAAATACTATCAAATTGTATACAATTTAATAGAAAAAAAAGAAACCAATGCTATTGTTCTACTTTAAATAAATGTTTAGTTTCTGTTTCCTCGAATAATCCAAGTTTATTATGAAAAAATTATTATTATGTAAACAAGAAGATATAAGAATGTTTTACTGATACAGTAGTAAAAAAAGGAAATAAATGTCCATCAATAGAAAAATAGAATAATTGGGGCGCCTGGGTGGCATAGTCGGTTAAGCGTCCGACTTTCGCTTAGGTCATGATCTCGCAGTTCGAGCCCTGCGTCGGGCTCTGTGCTGACTGCCAGCTCAGAGCCTGGAGCCTGTTTCAGCCTGTGACTCCCTCTCTCTCTGACCCTCCCCTGCTCACGCTGTCTCTCTCTCTCTCCTAAAAATAAATAAAACATTAAAAAAAAATTTTTAAAAAGAAAAATAGAATAATTATGTCTATGTAATAAAATTATAGTCTGAAAAATAAATACACTCAACACATTTTCAACATAAACCTCAGAACAATCCTAAGCTATAAAATCAAACTGCAGAATATTATTTCTGTAATAACTAAGAACAGAAAATTTATTAATTCTAATAAATGTTCATATGTATCAAGAGTATAAAGATACATATGTGAACAAATGATACCACAAAATCGGGATACCGATTATCTTTGAGATGGGGTGGAACACGCAGAGATCTTTAATTATATTAGGAAGGCCTTATTTCCTAACCTAGGTGGTGTGTGCATTAGTATTCATTATTCTTTTCTAAACTTTTCCTTTTGTCTTAAGTATTTTACACATGATCTAAAATAAAATGTGTATTTACTGAATAATACACTAATACCAGCTATAACTATGCATTCTTTGAATATTCCACATTTTTAAAAACACATGAAAAATTATTTAGAGGTTGGATTCACTTTAGTTTTTAAGTTACATACAAAATTAGTTAATTTTAGATAGAATCCATTAACTTCCTGCTTTGAAAGTTGAAAACCTTAGCACTCCCATTTCTTCTCCCAATTTTTGTTATGTGATTTTTACACTGTCCCAGTTCATAATACTCACACTCCATTCTGTAATTGTGATCTTTAGTAGTTCTTTAGTACTGGATCTATATTTTAGCTGAAGCAATCTCTTCACCATCCTCTTTCCTAATTGGCTGGATTTTGCTGCTGAGTGGATTTTTTCTAGTGGAGCTCATATGTGCTCTTTTCCTTAAATTCTCTCATGGTTAAGAATACCTGCTTGGGGGGCACCTGAGTGGCTCAGTCAGGGTTGGGCGTCCGACTTCGGCTCAGGTCATCATCTCACTGTTCATGGGTTTGAGCCTCGCATTGGGCTCTGTGCTGACAGCTCAGAGCCTGGAGCCTGGTTCTGATTGTGTCTCCTACTCTCTCTACCCCTTCCTGCTCACACTCTGTCTCTCTTTCAAAAATAAATAAACATTAAAAAAAAAAAAAGAATACCTGCTTGCCAGCTTTACAGCTGAATGACATCTTAGCTGGGTATAATATCTTGGGCCATCCTTTCTTGCCTTTAGAACTTTGCAGATGCTGCTCCCTTGAAAAATACTGGTAGTCAATGTTGCTTTGGAGAAGCCCAAGGCTAGTCTGATTTTTTCCACCTTTCCTGTGGTTTGCTTTTCTGTTTGGAAGTCTGAGGAACTCTCATTCTAATTCTCTCTCCCTCTTCCTCTTTCTCCCTTCTTTCTCTCCCCCTCTCTATTTATTCTTTTTTAAAATCACACTATTGTATTTTACCTGGGTAGAAATAACCAAAATCCATCCAGGGTAATGTCTTTACAAAATGGACTGCATACCACTGTTAAGACTTTTGTGGAGTTCTGGTTGTGGGAGGTCTTTCCTGAGAACTGGCATGGCTTCTAAAAGTACTAATATACCTAATGTTCACGTCAGAGACCTGTCTCTGTAAGCTTGAAAGAGAGGAAAGAAACAGATGGAGCCCAAATCCCTAGATGATTTAATCTACTTCTCTTCAAGTGACACAGAGGGTGCTCAATCTGTATCTTATGCATTTTGCTCCTCATAGTCAACAACGAGTCAGCTCAGAGCCTGTCGGAGGTGCTGGCAGGTCCCAATAACCTGGCACAGATGAACAGGCCAAAGTTCTTGCATCATAGGCTGTGACTCTTTTCACAACCCAGAGAAGCAAACGCAAGGCAAGAACAATATTGATGCAATAAAACATAAGAAATTCCAAGCACTAAATAAATTCTTCTGGGAGCTCAGTCCAAGATAATGGAATACTGAACAACTAGTTCTAAGACCTGGACAAGCAGATAAGCAAAGACAAACTTTAGGAATTCAGAAACAGATGTCTTTCAGAGCTGCAGCCATCTCTCTCACAACACCCTTTTTGATGGCTGCTATCACAATGACAATCACAGCACAGGCCACAGGCTCCACCGCCCACAGGGTCCTGGATTCCAGTCACAGTGTCTGACCATCCAGAGACCAAGGCAAAGGTTCTGTGGAGGCTGAACATGACCCCAGCCAGAGGAGGCACAGAACTACCTGAGAGGCTTCCCGTCCAATAATTTGCCGTTTATCCTAAAAGTTCAATAACTTGATCAAATCAGGTCTTATTGAACAGCTATACAATTTTCCTGAAACCTCTTGTACTATTTCAATCCATTTGTCCTATTTGTTGGGTTCTTTTCTTCAGCGACAGCACTCATCTTTATATTGGATCTCCTGTCTTCCATGTGTCTTTGCTTTTCTAATTATTTCAGCCTGTATTCGTTGGAATGTCTATAAAGCTGTCAGTAATTCAATTTTCTTTCTAGGTTTTGCTGTATATAATTTATTTACATTTCCTTAGATGCATAATCTCCCATTTCATCTCATTGTTATTATTTTCCTTTCTCTCAGTTTGTTTTTCTAAATTCAAATCCTCATTAAGTTGATGTGCGGCATGTAGCAGTTGGAAGGAATTGCCTCATTTTTCCTCTCTGATCAGCTGACAGCACTTACAAGCTGTTTTCTTCCTCTTTATTTTTCTATCATAGAATATTTGTGTTAGCTACAATGTGATTTCTTTCATCTTGCTTGTGATTAGACATTGTCCTCCAGACATTTATAAAGTGTGGGTGATTTCTTAAATCTTTTTCTGGAATATCTAAGACAAGTTATCCTTCCATCCTAGCTTTATTGTGAGAACTGGTATTTTCTCTTCTATCCACTTTTCTGAAGTCTGAGGACATGCTGGGGCTCAGATGGAGGAGTATGCAGCCTATTAGAATAATCTACCCAGACTCTGCTCTCCTTTGAGATTTTAAGTCTCCTACCCCAGTGGTCAATGCATATCCCAAATTAAAAGAAGCCTGGACTTCTGGGCAGAGTGAGTCAGCCAACCAATTGATTTTCCCTCTTTTTACCCAATCCTCCCCAGCAACAATTTCTAATTTCTCCTACTCTTTAATTAAGAGGGTGAAACAACAATGATATTCATTCAGTTTGCTTCTTTCCAGATTTGGGGCTATTTGTGAGAACTCTCAGAACCTCACCCACATGGTGTCTGTGGGGCAGAAAAGGGAGTCAGTCTTACTGTTTCTGTGAATCTGTTTTAAAGTTTACTGGGGGCACCTGGGTGGCTCAGTCCATTAAGCGTCTGGCTCAGGACATGGTGAGTTCAAGCCTCACAATAGGTTCTGTGCTGATGGTGCAGAGCCTGCTGGGAATTCTCCCTCCCTCTTATCCCCCTCCCCTTGTGGTGTCTCTCTCTCAAAATAAATACACTTAAAAAAAAAAAAAAAACTTCCTGGACTAGGTATTTGGTTATCTGCTGCTCAATATCTTACTTTTTCTTTTAAAAAATTTATTTTATTAAAAAAAATTTTTTAATGTTTATTCATTTTTGAGAGAAAGGCAGAGAGAGAGGGAGACACAGAATCAGAAGCAGGCTCCAGGCTCTGAGCTGTCAGCACAGAGCTCGACGTGAGGTTCAAATTCACAAACCACAATATCATGACCTGAGCCAATGTCGAACACTTAACCAACTGAGCCACCCAGGAGCCACCCCCCCCCCCACCAAAATGTTTTTAAACTCTTTTTTGCTTAAGGGAAGAAAATCCAGTGATAAAATTTCAATTCGAAATCTTAACCCAGGAGACAAAGACCATTTGTTTTCCAAGAGGACTCTTAGGTGACATAAAATGGGAACTGCTTTTTAATGCAACTTAAAAGTTTTGGGTTAACAGTGTTCTGGGAAAAATAGTAGGCTCAATTGCTGAAATATGCTTATATACGAGTATAAATGATGATTAAGTTTATAATGTAAGTTCCAGAAACACTTCTTCTAAAAGGAGTCACTATATTTACTTTTCATGAGTTAGTTAAAATTT